CTTCCCTCTCCCACTTCTCTCTTCTGGTTTTTATCTGCGTTACTATGAGCCACCTTACTCTTAACTGTCGTACTCGTAACAGTCGTACAGTCAGCCGATTGTGTAGGGCCACTATAATGTGCCTATCTTCCCAAATTTTTGGGCGAGGATGTTCCTAAGCGGTTATCCATCCAAGTACTAACCGCGCTAAACGCAACGGCACTCGGATGTCAGTGAGGCATATAATTTTTTTCATATTTTTTAATGAGTTTTTTCGGAACTTATACTAAAAGAAGAATTTCACCGGCGCGGTGCCGTGGACGCGAGTACCGAAGGGATAAGGCTGGATCATTGAAAATCAGTGACATAGCCCTGAGAATCTAAACTTTTTTTCTGTGATATTTTCGAAATTATTTCTTTTATTCATCGATAATCATTATTTGAAAAATTCATTCCGGAAGAGAGCCATTAATTCATCGCCGGACTCCATTTTCCTTTTTCTTAGTAGGGGAGGGTAGTTCAAAACGGACCACTGACAGAAAATTGGTAATTTTTTTTTTCTTTCCTTCAAATCAGGAACACTGAATGTGTTTTTTGAATTAAAAGTGAGTTTCTTGGATTGTAACTGTCACATGGGTTTTAAAGACAAGAAGTGTCGTTGAACCGCAATTTGATCAGATTTGCTGATCACCTCAAACCACAAATGACTTCGAATTCGCTCCATTCGGAAGCAAAAACAAAAATTATTAATTTTCTGTCATTGGTCCGTTTTTCCCTAGGGGTCCGTTTTGCCCTACCCTCCCCTAGTATAGGCCAGCCCCTTGTTTCTTTCATCCACACTCAACTCTGACGGGCCTCCACATTCCACTGATACTTCTCGCAAACATCGTGCCGCAATGGGTTCAAAAAATATTCAAGATATCTCTGGAAAGAACATTTTGGAAATGCGGATGATTTTGCGATGACCGATTCTCAAACTAAGTATTCCAGCACATTTTGAAAATCTTCAAGATTTGCCGTTCTAGAAAATTCTGGAGTTTTAGAATTTTTTTAGAAGTAATATGACCCTATAGAATAATCTTCTTGGAAATTCTTACGTTTCCTACAGGAATGTTTCCGCCACTGGAAGGTTCACGGGGAATATTCGACTTTCTACAGGAAAAGTTCAGTAAATGGAATACAAAACTCTATTTCTTGCAGAAAAGCAAATTGGCTACAGGAAACTCTTGTATAGAGTGTCCGTGGAAGAAAGAATTCTGCAAGCTGGTCGTTCATAAAAATTTGGATTTCCTACTGAAATAGTTCTATAATGGGAAAAATTCTCCAAGTATAGAAGCATTATCTAAGAAAGAGGAAGAGGATCTATGAACAATTTTTTCATCAAGAGTTCTTTCAAAAGAATTCTCTCAAAAAATTCAACTGAGAGGTTCGTAGAAGTTTGAATTCTTTGCAGAAAACGTTCTATAACAAAAAATTGCAAATTTTTCATACTCACGCAGAAGAAAGATTTTTTGTGAATTACTGCTTCCGAGCTTTTCTGTCGGAAATCAAAATTCCTGATAACGTTTCTGTTAAAAGAATTTCTAGACGCCCGTTACGTAACATATTAAGGGGGATTTTTCTCTGTCTGTGTAGATGATCTCACCAGTCGAAGTTTCAATCAGCCTAATCTAATATTTAATCTCAACTCACATAAAAAGCTGCGTACGTTGTGTGGGAAGAGTCGAGGAAAAGTACACAGAAAGATGTGCATGAAGCGCGTGAAGGCAATGTCCGAACTTCTAATACCATGATCCTATAGAAATATTCCCTCGCAAATCAATATGGGGAGAGAAAGGGCGGTATTTAAAAATGGCACCAAAAAGGGAAGGTGTCGTAACTGAAGTAATGTATAACAGTCAAAGATTATCACATAAGAAATTAATAATTCCCCTATGGTAATCACGTCTCGACTATGCCACTATTTAAAGAAGTGATACAAATCGGTCTAGCGGGGAAAATTTATCCCTCCGAAACAGTAGGAAAACAGGACACTCATCTCTTCTTCCTTTTTGTTAACCGATCACAACCTTACGTCCAGAAGGCACTTTCGTTAGATACAATAGGACACTTGCGATTCAAAACGCACAATTTCACAAATATATCGAGTCCTGTCACGGCTCAGGCTCTTAATCAACTGTACATTTTCTATTATAAATTTCCTGGACCTTTGCGAGCAATTTGATATGCTTACACTTAACGAGAGAAGAAGTCACAGAAATATTATTCATTGTAAAACTACTGAGGAATAACATTGATTGCCCTCAATTGCTGGAGCTAATTGCAGTGAGAATCTTCAAATTCATCTCGAGATTACAAAGTATTTTCTATCTCCCTCAAAAGTTAAAAACAAAATATGTCGGTGCAACGACGCCCCTATACCGGGGATGGAAATCTGTCAATTAGTTGATTAAACTTTGTAAGTACTCCATAGATATTGTCACATCTCCATTGACGACGATAGCTCAAAAATCACGTGAATATGTCAAGTCACTCAGGTCTAACCGTAATTATTAATTTTCATCAAGAATGCAGTAACCTCAGAAATAATTAGGATTCGCCATCTACAGCTACACTATCTTCTTTTTTATATAATCTTGTATAAAAAGGAGATGTAACACGTTTATTCCTGAATGCCTGAAAGAGAAATCGCATGCATGATGATGATAATGGTGATTTGGTTGATGATGGTGATGATATTGATGATGTTGCTAATGTTGGTATAGATCCATGGAGAGATGTTTTCAATCACGGAACATTATATGTAGCTTGGGGTCGGAAGGGGGCGCTCGTGCGGGGCGGTTGGGCCCTTGGGTGCGTCGTTGATTTTTGGGGGGAAATCTTGGTTTTTTTGGTGAAATAATTGAGGAAAAGTGGTTTTGGGGTGCCTCTCAATGTAATCTACGGAGAGAGTAATGAATTGGGGGGGAAAATTGAACATTTTAAGGGGTTTTTCGACTGTGTTTGGGCACGTTGGCGGAAAGGTTAGGGTCGCCCACTTTGCTTTGTGTTGGGGGGGGGGGGGGGAGAGGGACTGGGTTTNTTTGGTTGGAGGGTCTCATCTTCAAACTTATTAAAAAAGAATTTTCATTACATCTCATAAAAATGATATGGGATATGGTTCGTAACAAGCACTTCTGCATCAGTGGAAATGGTATGACATCATCTCTAAACTTTGACATTCGCGAAGGCCTTCAACAGGGCACAGTGAATTCGCCTGTGCTATTCTCCATCTACACCAGTGACATTCTGAACGCCTTCGGAATGAACTCAGGTGGCCCATCGAGATCAATCGCTTATGCGGATGATCTCATAATTTACATCGCTGACAAATCCATTCGCAATATCGAGAATCAAATGGAAACCCTGGTGAACAAAGTCAATAACTTATATTCGACTTGGAATCTTCGGATGAACCCCAGTAAATGCGAGGCTATACTCCTCAGGAAGCCTTACTCTCTTCTCACATCACACAAAAAAATCACATTTGAAATTACCACGTTCCACCCAGACACTCGTGAGCCAATCATCATTCCCACGAAAAACATTGTAAAATACCTGGGCATGCACATAGACTGCCGCATCCGATGCTCAACACATGCTGATATTCAACTAACGAAGGCCACCACTCGCTTCAGATCGCTCACAAGGTTATTTCATAACTCTCATATCTCCAAACGAGCTCGCATCATATGCTACTTGATTTTGGTAAGACCCCTCCTCACGTATGCCTGCCCGGCCTGGTGGAACCTAGGGGCTGCTCAAATGGAAAAAATTAGATGCTTCGAACGTCGTTGCCTGCGCGCATCTCTTCGACTCTACACAACCCCTGATTCGGGATACAAAGGCCGTGTTAATAATAAGACTTTATACGATACAGCAAATATCACGAGGATAGATAACTTCATCCTATACCTCACTCGTAACTATTACCAAGGTCTCACCACCATAAACAACGACACTGTAAAAAAATTGAGCATCGTTGACCCAGTCATCACTGCTCATGAAGCTTCATCAGGGTATATCCAACCCCAAGCTTTCACCTACTTTGATCGTTTGGGAATAATACAAGATCATAACAACGTGCCTACGATCTACCATTTCAGCAGACACAAAAATGATAAAAAAATACCAACCAATATCACCCATGACATACCTCAGTTGTACTCAATGGCCATTCCTGAGATTGACTTCATCGACAACTCCAGAACCACTAAGAAATTTTGGTGGCTAGACGAGACTGCAGTGCACTTCAACGAACTCAAACAACGAGCCGAGCCCAGAGTCACACCTGGCCACAACCAACGAGGTTCCTGACACCCCCATCTCGACTGAACTCAGAGCTTCCTTCTCTTAAAATATTAACTTTTTATTTTTTTTTAGTTGGTACTTAAAACCAAAGGGGATGTTATCCCATTGATATTATCACTTGTATATATTGTAAATAGGGGGGGGGGTTCTACTTAGCTTTAATTTAATTTTAATTATTAACATTCACAATATCACGTCAAGGGGTTTTTTCTCTCAACCATTTTCCCTACAGATAATAAACACCGATAGTGCCAGGTTGTCTGAGTGTCTCCGCACCAACCTTATACATAAAATTATATTAAAATAAAGTCAACTAATGTTCTTAAACTCTCGAGTGATAAAAAGATTCTGAGATCCTAGTCCTCTGCTAGGCACATGTTTCAAAGCCTCCAATAATGGTAAATTAACCAAAAGTGTTCTTTGTAAAAGTTTATTACACTTATTAGTATAATATGTATCGCTGGTTGAATAAATGAAAATAAAGTTTGTTACAAAAAAAAAAAAGTAGAGCGCTCGCTTAGCATGCGAGAGGTACCGGGATCGATACCCGGCACCTCCAAATTTTTTTTTGTTTTTTGCAATAAATCCTAGAAACGAGAATATCAAGAACAGACATATGATGTATACAGCTGTTCTTAGTTTTTAGAATCGCTATTGTTTTTACAGTTTACCTGATAGTAACTTGATGGATTGGCTGGTGGTGGTACGTTAGGATCTACCAGCTCCATATTATGAAGCCATGGTAGTAGATACTGAAGTAACAATTGTCGGACCTCACGTCTCGCTGTTTGAAATCTGTGAGTTATCTCTGAAACAGGACCATGATTTAACACATAGTTGTTTTAATATAGGTGAGTCGGCTGTTTCAGCGAGCTTTTATATATCACGCATACAACTGGAGTGTGAGACAAGAGATAAAGGCGAGGGGAAGAGGGAATGGCAGAGGAGTAGTGGACTACGTTGATGGAGATTGCAAGGAGGGTAGGGAACCGACTAATGTCTGACAGATGTTCCAAGAGCAATTATTCCATCAGTCGCCTGATGGATATTGATAGATAAAAAATAATGTGCAGAGGGAGTGTGATAAGGTGCGAAGAGTGCTCCCAGAGGTAGGAAGTAGGAGTTGAAAGTAAAAAAAAAAGTAAAGAAAAAATATGCCAAATAAAACTGTTAAAAAACTCGGCACGTGTTTAGATTCTAAATGTAGAGCGTTTTTGGGCTTCGTAACACACGATTTTAGAATGAATCTCAGGAAGCTGTGACGGGTGGGAGATAACCCAAGCTGGTGAGAATCGAGGTGAAAGAAAGGAGGGGGGAAATGATGGTTATAAATGGAACCTAGTGATTCCAAATCGATGCTGTCACTTTTCACGCGCACCCCGATCACCCTGTCACGTTAAACCTACTTCTCTAAATGTCTTGTCAAAGTTTCGTCGCAAATCATTATTGTGTTTCAACTCATCGCATCCATAAAACATCCCTAAATGTATTTCAATGGTGCAGATATTATTTTCAGTATCTCAAGCTATTCCAGACACTTTAGTTGCCTAAAATACCCAAGAGTATGTCCTTTGATGATCTCCCCTCCTGAATATTCAGCGGAATTTTCCACTAATTCCCATGAATAAATTTCGATTGAAAATCTCGTGGAAAGTTTTAAAATAATAATCCCACAAAAGTCGGAATCTAATAAGAACTTACCACTGAACATGGGCATTGTGAGCTCTGGATGAAGCTGAGCAAGCTGTCTCGAAAGATACATCTGATTACGGCAATAAGCATTTGTGAGAAGGGCATCAAGGGTCCCTGCCTTGACTGATGGGTTTGACCCAGGCCCATTCGTCATCCCGACACCTACAGCCGTCGTTGCAATCGTAGAAGTCAATTCTTCGGGTCCTGAGAAAATAAAATGATAACAATTAATAAAAAAGTGGTCCAAACGCATAACATATCTGCAAGGACCCACAACCGTAGGCCATCAATTGTTCCCCTCTTTGGCATCGCATAGGGTAGCGAAGGCTCGGTAAATACTTTTTGATTGTAAACAAAGAGGGTAGTTTCCCAATCAACAGGCTACATTCAAGTTTGCTCAGTCGAAAACACTGGCGCGCAGAAGCTGGAAAAGCGTCAGAGACTGAGGCGGGCTTTATCAAGCCTCGCATCATACCACACAAACGCCAGAAGTAAGCGAAACTTTAGTGGAAGGTGATCGACGGGAACTTTCCCCTTATCACTATATATTTCAATAACATTCTCCTCCCGCTCCCCCTTTATAAAACCTGACTCGCATTATCAGATCTCAAGGGATTCCCGCTTGAGCAGTTTTGTCCTTGAAAATTGATACAACATACGTTTTTGGATGTTTCAAATAAAACGGGTTTTCGAGAATGTTGAATTGACATTAACAGTAAACGATTACAGAGTGAACGAATAAAGTGCTCAACTCGTTCATCAAATGTGCATTAAATATTTGAATTCGTGGAATTTTAAGGATCAACAATGGAGGAAGAGGAGTCAAGGGCGATCACGAGTCAATCAGACTGGGCAGAGACAACAATGTTTCTGGTCCAGATGTACTATACCCCGGTATTAGTGTGTCTAGGTACCCTAGGTAATTGTTTATCAGTGTACGTATTTTTCTATACGAAAATGAGAAGGGCTTCGTCCAGTTGGTATCTGGCAGCCTTGGTGATAAGTGATACTGGATTTCTGGTGGCAGTGTTCATCGTCTGGTTGAACATGGTGGGAATTGGTATTTTCAACCGTCAGGGTTACTGCCAATTTTTCGTTTATCTCTCCACGCTGTGCAGCTTCTTAAGTGTATGGTTTGTGGTATCCTTCACTATTGAACGTTTTATCGCGGTGCTGTATCCCCTGCGCCGGCAGTCACTGTGCACAGTGGCCAAAGCTAAAATGGTTATCCTAGGACTCACGGGCATCGGTATCATACTGTGCAGTCCAGTCCTGTGGTTCACCAGTCCACGGCCAATGAACGGTAAGCCCAATATTACTGCTTGTCAGCTTGTCACAGAGAGGGAGAATTTGGCCAGTGCATTCAACGTTGCTGATACCGTCTTGACATTCGTTCTACCGTTCGCTATCATTGTAATCCTCAATGGACTTATTTCGAGAGCTGTCTGGAGGCTGGCGAATGTAAGAAGGACACTGACCACCAATGGCCAGAGGGACTCCAGGTGTGGCAACATCGGCATGTCCCAGGCTAAAGTCACAAAAATGCTGCTGGTTGTTTCCACTGTTTTTCTCTGCTTCAATTTGCCGGCCTACGTCATGAGAGTCCGCGCATTTCTAGAGGTGGGTGTACATCAATATCGATAGATGAATAACAGACTAACGCAATCGCCGGAATAGGATGCTCAATGTGACAAACGTATATCTTCATTTTGTTTACATGTTTACAAGAATTGGTCTTTTTCTACTTCATTACTCTGTTATTCAAGTCCGTTGTTTAGCTCTCCAGCGTTTTATGGTAGGATAACAAAGAGAGAAAGAATGAGACGGTTATTTCCGGGTTTGAAAATTGATCTACTCGTATTTTGGTCCTCACGAAGTATTAACTTGGGGGATATAAATTAATGAAGGAAAAGTTTAATTGAATCTACGGGGGTGAAACACTACTGTCGATCGATTGATTCCAGTAATTCTTGGATACATGTGATATCTTTATGGTTTTATAGCTGGAACAGTTTACTCAGTTGAGTTATTATTGAGTAGGTGGGAGGGGAAGACTTTAGCCATGGATAGTATTAATTATGATATGGGGGTTCCATGCGCTTTCTCACGTTTACATTTTACTCCTTAGGTACACCAGGATGATCCAAGGTCCACTGTGTTAGCACAGCACATCGCTAACATTCTCTTTGATACTAATTTTGGAATAAACTTCGTACTGTACTGCGCGAGCGGACAAAACTTCCGTAAAGCCGTTGTGCGATTGATCCTCAGGAGGCCGAGAAGATGGCACTCTGGCACACGAGTATCAAATCATGGTATTTAATTTCGTAACAAAATTGTTCTAATTCTGGATACACATTTTTAGCGTGTTATAAACAAACTACTTGAGAATGGAATGAATTGATGCTGTGCATTTTATCATCAATATCGTTTTGATTGGAAGGGGGGAGATTTGTTTTTAACATTCCAGTTGCAGAGGAAGTTATGAAATGCCCCAGATAATCAAAAGTGGAGTCACATGGCATTTTCAAAATGCGTTCACAAAATTTTGCACTAGTCATAACTTTATATAAGATACCTCTCTATAAGATACCTCGAGGGCTGAACGCTTGAGGCCTACCCCCACTCTCGGCACTTTTATCGCCCCCGAATGTTTAGCTCCGTGAAGTTCTTATAAGGTACTTATGATTCCGGTCAGTTTTTAATGGAAAAAGAGTGGTTATGAGGGTCAAACGGACTTAAGGGAAGACACTATGAGTTTTAAAAGTAGCGGGTGATTGGAGTGAGATTTCTCATGCATTGAAGATCGATTATATATATCTAAAAACGAATAATTAGTGCAAAGAAATTAATTGTTTATTGTTGCCCCGCACACGCTTAAAATGTTAAAAATAGTCCAGGGTCTCCAATTTTTGAGCAATAAAGGTTTTTTTCTTTTAAAATTTTTTGAAAAAATGTATACAATTGCAACTACGAATTAGTTTTTTGAAATTCGACTCCTACACAGCTAATTTCGTCTTCTTTAATGTAAAAATTTGCGCCATTCATGTAAAATAGGCAAAAAAATCCTTATAATATTTAAAATATATTTTCCATTCTTTCAGAAAAATTTGTTGGGCTATTTTACATGAATGATGCAATTTTTTTTATTAAAAAAAAGAAATTAGCTATGTAGTAATCGAATTTCAAAAAACTAATTCGTAATTAAAATTTTGAAAAAAAACCTCTGTAGCTGAAAAATTAGAGGCCTTGCACTATTTTCAACATTTTAAGCGTCTACGGGGCAAACGAACAATAAACAATTAATTTTCTGCGCTAATTATTCATTTTTTCAATGTGTGAGAAATCTCATTCCAATGCCCCGCGACTTTTAAAACTCATAGTAGTCTTCCCTTAACGGATAAATGGGAAGGACGAACGAAGTGATCATAAGAGTCACACGAGAGGCACGAATGAAGTGACTGTACGGGTAAAATAGTCTCATGAGTCAAGCAATTTCACAATGGTCAAAGACAAGTTTTTGTTTATTATAATTAACATTGCATGGCAATGGATGCAACAGGGGAGCGCGGGCTATACACATTTAAAACAGTAAACACGTATAAATTGATTAATTATCGATATCTATTAAAGAAAAATCAAAATTCCATTGACTTAGCGCACAACGAAGCCCTTATCGAGGTATCTTATATAAAATTGTTGGTTCCCTAGTTTTCTCCCTCTGCGTACGCGCGTAGTGGGAGTATACGGATTCCCGGAGTTCCACTCTCCAACTGTCTATTAGCCAATGAAAGCTAATGCAACTCAGACCCGATTTAATTTTCAACAAAATTAACTCAGCAGTTCATCACAGGGGGAAAAAAGTTGGAGAAAAATTACCAAACAAGTTGAGTAATTGTGGAGCGGAATCCATTTCTAGGTCTTTGTCGTCCTATATCGGGGCAAAAAGTGTGAGACGAATAGTGAATTTTTCGCCACTGACTTAGGAAATTTTACTAAAGGTTACGGTTATTTGTGCCGATGCTGTACAATTTACCATCCATCAAAAATTATCCCATGAACGTGAATAATTACTCAGTATGACGTAATCATTCACATTCGTGTAGGAATTTTTGTGTGACGAAGAATGATTTTTTTACCAAGCGCCGTATAGTGGAAATTTCACTTTCGTCCGTCCCCACGTCTTTCACATCAGAACCAGGAAGAAATACCCCACCGGTAGGGGAAATGTCGCTGTAATGAGAACAGTAATGTTTACATCCATAGATGTGCTTTGTAAAAAATATTGTTTATTGAATTACAATTTTGCGCCATGACGATTGTATCGTAAAATTCGCCGCGATGTTATAGATAATTTCTTTAAAATTTTCGTTTGAATTTTCCGTACCAAATTTCGAAAAATGTTATCATGTTCAAGTTCCACTGAAATTTCAGGAATTCTCTCATTGAAAAATCAAATGTTCCATTGGTTCTGTTCAAATGATCTGGAAATCAATAAAATACTTGATTTTCAGTTCAATTATTCTGTAGAAATTCAGAAAAATCAGGAAAATTCAGGAAAAAATTGAAAATTCATGTCCTTTTGTTTTTGAAGATTCATGTTCCACTGAAAATTCAATCAAGTTGTGAAATTTCCCGCTCACTCCCACTGAAAACTTATAAAATTCCGTGGATTCTATTTAAAACTCTCCTAACCATTTTTAGAAATTTTCTAACCTTTTTTTCCCTAAATCGCATACAATGTCACTCTCATGAGATTTACTATAATATCTTTCATGTAATTTCCAAAAATTTCTTACAGTGCATCCGATCAAAAATTATCCCAGTGAACGTGAATAATTGCTCGAATCTTTCGTATAATTTTCCTGTAACGGAGAATGATTTTTACCGAATCTGGTTGATAAAAATTCACGTCCGTCTGTCCCCATGATCTTCAGATGGGTACAAGACAAATAATACCCTACCGGTGTGGGAAATTTTACTAAACAGGAGGATAATTTTTGCATCTATAGATGTTTGTTTACCGAGAAAATCATTTAATATCCACTAAAAACCAGTATTTTTTCACTGAATTACATTTCCCTCCACGATTACCATTCGTATAGTAAAATTTGTCTCGATTTTCCAAGTAATTTTTATACAATTTTTCTCTCCGTCCAATTAAGTAGAAAAAAGATACAACGTAACAACTAAAATAATTAATTATGAAGGGGGAGAGGGTCTGTACAGTTACAAAAAAGGAGTTCTGATAGATGTTCCTATAACACGCTCTTGTCAAGGTGCATGAATAGTCAGCAAAAATGTCAAAATTTATTAGACGTATTCATACAATATCGCACTTCCCTCCATTTGTATTGTGTTATAATTCTATTGTTATGTGAATGGCTGTGGAAAGGTTGGTGTAATTTAATCAAGTCTCAATTGCATGAAGGCGTTTCGATTCGATGAAAAAAACTTCGAAATATGTCTCTTGAGGAAAAATACAGAATACATCATCTTGCTGATCTACTGTCCGTAAATTCCCGTGTTGTATCGGACTCATCGTTTATTTAGTTGTTGGTGAAGCGTGTAAATTGCTATGCTCACTTTAACCCTCCCCTATTCGAAGAAGACCACTTAACAACCCACCCCAATTTTCCAATTCCCCATCCGTAGGGAGTAAATAACTGTAATGACCTAGGAAATCAAGTGGAAATTTCATTATATGTCCACGTGTCGTGACACCTTGAATCTTTCTATGATTTTGTTTAAAGCGATGTCCGTCTGTGTTTATCTACAGGCAGCCGGGTATGACGCAAAATTTTATCGTATGATTTCTCTTGAACTATACACGCACGAAAAAATTTAATAGAAAAACCTACCGAATTCGTTAGAAAATTCTATTGAATTTCTATTAAACTTTCTATTAGTTATTGGCTGATTCTATTGACATGTTCAATAGAAAACATTCAATAGAAGAAGTCAACAGAATTCGATTTTTCTACATAACTTATTCTTTTCATATATTTTCTATAGAATTTGCTCGACTCAAATTTTCTAGGTTTTTTCATTCTATTTTTCTTTTCTTCTCATCGAGAAAATCAAACGAAAAAACTTAGAAAATTTGAGCCGAGGAAATTCTATAGAAAATATCTCAATAGAATAAGTTACATAGAAAAATTGAATTCTATTGACTTTTTCTACTGAATATTTTCTATTGAACATTTCAATAGAATCGGCCAAAAACTAATAGAACAATTCAATAGAAATTCAATAGAATTTTCTAAGGAATTCGATAGGTTTTTCTATTAAATTTTTTCGTCCGTGTAATGGTGCAATTAAACTTTTGTTTTTAACTTCCCGGCCCAAAGGGAAGAAGTTATTGTAATTACTCGAAAAATCAAATGTGTTTTTTTTTTTTGCAATCGATGTGATTAAATTGCAAACAAGATCGTGTCAGTAGCGTCATCATTATTCAGATAGAGCTAGCAAAAAAACATGGATGATAGTTTTTTTTTCACACATTTGACCATTCTTTCCGAAAAAAGAGACGGTTTTGATTTTTAGTTTCACGGAATCGGTGCATCTCTGTGGAGTGTTATGGGTAATTTGACGTAAACTGAATACTGAATTAATTTATTACAACCAGAAGGGTCAATGCTAAGCTGGAATAGATTTTTGAGCAATCTGAGAATACGGGACGTAACATTATTCTCGTTGTTGTTTAAGACACCGTTGGTTGTGCAAAACTTACGAACTCCGTGCGTAAGTGGCCACCGTCAGCGAGTCGTCGCGTGACAAAAAATCAGATAGATCCTATCGTAAAAAGGAGAAAGGAAATCGATCTCAAAATATCTCGAAAATCTCGAATAAGCGTAAGCGTAAGACGGAAACCGAAGCGAAACTACGTGAGGAGATAAGAAGGCGCGGGCGCAGCACGTGCGGCCGATCACGTAGGCATATAAAAAATTTGAATAATTTTCAGAATATCGCTAATGAAATCCTGAAAATGTTTTGACGTTTATGATTTATGATGTTTGATGTTTATTATTTATGCCAGTTCAAAATTGAGTAGTGTTTTTGGAGAATTTCGCACTTCATTGCTTCGTAACATGGGGTGACCAATAGAGTTTTGACACATAAATTTCAACATTTAATTCCTGAAAATTTTTATGATGCAGATCATTATTCGTGCAGATTCTATACACTTCAAGATAGATGTTAATTTTTTTCAAATTTGTTCAGGGCTTGAAAGCAATCTTATTGAAAAATTGTAAAAAGTGCGCCGCGGCGCTCATAGCATGACCAACGGAGTGTTAAATAATCTTTATTTGGACTTTTGCGTCAAATCCATTGAAAATGAAAATAAACTCGTTTTAAAAAAAAAAAGTTTGATCATGAACAGCTATCAAAAGAAGAGATAAACACTGGACAAAAGTCAAACCGACTAGAAGAATCTATAATTAAACAAAAAAAATTGAAAGACAAAATACAATTTGTTCAAAGACTTACATAGTATTTGTTGAAACTATTAGAATTCACATACGTTTGAATTATGATGTGAATAGTAGCGAATTCTTCACTATTCAAAATATTATCCCATTTAAACAAAACGAAAATTAATTCAATGAATTTTTCGACGGACATCGTCATTTGAGGGAAAATAAATTTGTGCATTTCTTGATGAACGTCACAGTAGTGTGGGCATGAATTTTCAGACAAATAGTTCCACGAGTTTTTCACTTATTTCTTCTATAAAGCTTGCGGAATGTCTTTCTTTTATCTTTTTCGTATTTGACATTTGCAAAATTAAAAAATAAGACTTCCGAAATTGAAGAGAAAAACGTTAATTCAAAGAAAATGAAATCTTTGAAATTAAAAAAATTACAACAAAAAAAATTAAAAATAGAAAAAAAATTATTGGGAAATGAAAAACAGACAAAATGAATTGTTTCTTTTTTCGATGGACGTCTCAGTAGCGTGAGCATGAATTTTCAAACAAATAGTTCCACGATTTTTTCACTTATTTCTGCCATAAAGCTTGCGGAATGTCTTTATTTTTATTGGGTATTTACAAAATAAAAAAAATAAAATTTCCGAAATTGAAGAACAAAATTTTAATTCAATGGAAATGAAAATTTTAGAATTGAAAAAATTTAAAAAAATTTTTAAAAATTAAAAAAAAACCATTGGAAATTGGAAAACAGCCAAAATGAATGAGTTGCAAAGGTATTGGTCTGACCGACAATGGGTCACCCCCTCTGCCACCCACCGATAACCACCGATCGATCCCAATTTTCTCATTACATTGTTGGTTTCCAGTGAGCGATGTGAGGAGATCGAGCAGCAAGATTACGCGTCAAAGAACGATCGTCTATGAGGTACCGTGGAATGAGGGCTGTGAGATGAGGGCTATGGAATCAACGACTAACAGGGCCCTGAGTCAATAGAACTTTGCATAAAAAGTTACAATACGCACCACTGTCGAGTTCAGCCCCCGGCAACGGTCGCACATTTCCGAAGAATCTCTGATCCAACAGCTGGAGAAGTTGAATTGCAGCGTCCTGAACTGGCGCACGGGGACAACCCGTGTTCATCAGACTGACGTTTATCACACTCGTGTAATGATCACATGGATATTCCCTGAAATGTGAATACAAATACATGCAGTTCACTTTCTTATTCCACATTTTTTTATCGCCTATTTTATGTGGCTTCCTGCGGGAGGTGCCAAGTTACCTGGCACTGAAGATCGTAGCGAGGGCGAGAAAACAGCCGTCGGCAACCTGCGGCATACCCGTGTAGCAACGATCCACCACCCAATCGAGAAGGGTTCCAATGTCGGGGTTTCCCTCCAGTAATAAAACCATTGTTTCGCGAGCCAGTAGATAAATCTGTGAAGTTTGAAATGTATTCTGAAGACGCGAGTTTCAGTTCAATTGAAATCAGTAGCAGTTTTCAATGAATATCTCGGAATCTAAGGGAAATAGCAAAGTTTTTATTATAACCTTTTTTGTTGAGCCGATTGAGAACTACAACAAATGTCATTACGAAAATTTTGCTATCTCCCTTAGATTTGCAAATATTCCTCAAAAACTCAACTGGGAGATAAGTCGAACCATTTTACCACTTTGCTACTGAAATGTATTTCTGATATATAATACCATGCATGTATTAGTTTTCGAACAAGTATATAAGAATCGGGCTTAAAGAAAAACTTGAATCAGGAAGAATTTTTCAGGATAAATCTTATGAGAGGAACCGAAGAGAAATTGTCGTACGTATTCATGTTTTGTTCCATTTTGTGTCAACCGATTAATAAGCAGCCCTGAAGAGGAGGGCATAAAGCACTCAAAACGTAGTCAAAATTGAAAATTTGTGCGTTCGACTCTTTCTTTACTAAAAAATTGCAGGCGGCTGTATCTTCAATATAGCTGTAATTGTACGTGAATACGTTTATAGTTTTTCCCTCTTTTTCGACTTTCCTAGAAACTGTTTGCATTCCCTCGAATTTTCTAGAAACTCCTTGCATTCCCGCAAATTTTCTGGAAACTCTTTGAATTCTCTCGAATTTTCTAAAAACTCCTTGAATTCCCTCGAATTTTCTAGGAACTCCTTGAATTTTTTCCAAATTCCAAGAAACTTCTCGAATTACCTCGAAATGTCTAGAATTTTTTAGACTTCCGATAAATGGCGCTGCACATAAGGACCGTTTCCCAAAATGACCCCATATTGAAACCATAGACTTATCCACGTCAAAACATTTTTTAATTGCTTATTCATGACTGGCTATTGGCAGGAAGGAGTAGTTCTAAAATACAGAACAGAAAAGATTCAATAATGTGTCCTCCGCATGATTAAAAAGATTTTTACCTTTATTTTCGGTTATTTCGTAAGAGCTTAATTTTACCGACCGTAACATCCGAAGAACTTCAATCGAACGAAATTATAATTTTCAGTAAGTTTCATTATGATTAGTAAGTTTCATTGTGTCATTTTCCGAAATCGAATCGGTCGGCCCCCACCCGGCGCAATGAGGAAAGGACATGAAATGATCACTAAGGCTTTAGCGCTGATTGCAATACGTTGGTCTTATTGTAAACTCAATATACTTATTTTGTATATTTTCATTCACTCAATTGTTGTAAATATACTGTGTACAATTTTCCAATTAATTATGAAAGTTGTAAAGTGCAAAGCAGAGTCCGCTCGATGGCTGAATTTAATAAATTGTTTCTTGGAAGTTCTGCTTTATGGGTCTACTCAATCTCCCCCTCTTAGATCTTTATTGATAACATAATTTAATAATAAATATATTGGGACTGATTTTTATAATTTTATTAACAAAATTTCTGATCAATTAAATGAATAACGTAAATTATTTGCCAGCGTTCAATGTCGACTGGCGTCCAACGAAATAAGAGAGCCCTAACAGCCTCAAAATGAAATTTGAAGAAAATAGTCGTACAGTTAGTTTAAATTAATAGCCGCATTATAACAATAGGCTCCTTTCGCCTTGACCAAGAGAATCCCCACAAACAAAAAACCTTTTAAATTTACAGGTTATTTACGATACAACTGAAGAATCAACTTAACGGATTACGATGAGGACGAAGATGTCCTTTTGACACTCCAGACGCTAAAATATTATACAAAACTTGACATCATTAACTACCGCACAAGACGAAACCGGAAGAACGGGCGACGACGATCGCATACAGTCCTGCACCCAGAATAATGGTTCATTTGAATCAAATAAATCTTCTATGAAAATCAAATAACCGATTTATTTGATTGAAATAAAGGTTATTAAATTAAAATAAACCATTTATCTGCGTATACACACTGATAGAAAAGGTGGAACGATTCAGTTGTACCAAACGAGGCTTCTTAACTGTTACCGCGATTCGTTAATAGTTAACGAATCGTGGTAATAGTTAAAAAGTTTCGTTTGGTCGAACTTAAACCGTTCTATCAGTGCACGCAAAGTGATTCATTTGAACAATGACGACCAAGTTCTTTAAATTCTCATGCAATTTATAAGTTGGCATAGCGTCGTATCTATTGCAAAGCAAATAACGCAAAGAATTTTCGTTACAATACATATTTTTGTAGAAAAGATATGTGGTAATCTAACTGGTAGTGAGCGGCTGGTAGTGAGCGATCCTTTCTTCATAAGGCAACGTATGAACGAATAAAGCAATATCAATTCCACAAGTTACAACCAGAATCTTCATGGCAATCAGGCATCCGTCGAGGAGATAACTCGGTTGTTTACACTTGCGGTGGTACAGGATTTTTCATCGCCGTATAAGACGTTTACGGTCTTTAGTGGTTTTCAATCATGTCCGGATTGTCATGTGATATAATTCTTGGTATGGATTTCTGCTTAGATTTTCAGGTCGCAATTGCTCGCTAGCAGGGAGTAAATATACACATCGATTATCCCACTGTTATGTTCTTCCTTCCTCCATGAATTGAAAGTTTTTAAATGCAGAATTTCAAAAGCTCGATGAAGAATCGACGGAAGTAACTGATCTAGTTGAACACGTGATAGAATTGGACGCCCCAACTCCACATAAGGAAAAGTTAGAGACGGCGGGAAGTAATTAGGGAATTTATCAAGGAAGAGGTTGATAGATAGCCAGAAAAAGGATATATTACGTAGAGTAATAGCGAATAGGGTTGTTCTCCAGTAGTCGCCCCGAAGTCTAATGGAGGATTAGGTTTCTGCATAAATTACACGCCACTGAATAGGAAAACCAAAAAGCTTGTCTAGCCCCTACCTAACATGCGATCGATCTTCTCGTAATTACATCAAACTAAAGTCATTTCGGAACTTAACATGAGTGAAGCATTTTACCGAATTCTAAGGGAGTAAATGAGGTGTAAATATACCGCCGTTGTCGTGGAAGGAGGACAGTTGTTGGAGTGGCTTTGGATGCCTCAGCGCCCCATCAACCTTCCAGCGACTCATGGATATTTTGAAACGCCGATTGAAAGATTTGATTCGTGAATGGAAGGTTTTTATGCATCTGGATGATTGGATTGTCAAAACGTAGATGAGCATATTACGATTCTCTCTCAAGTGTTTGAGGTGTTCCGAGAATCTGAACTTGTTATCAATCGCGAAAAAAGTAGTTTTACGTGTAAGAGGGTTAAATTTCTCGCATACGCGAAAAAAATATAATATTATTCTTTGCTATGTGAACAGTGATAGCCATATTCATCAATCCTAATTACCGTTAAATTATGAAGTTGTCAATTTTTAACATAAATCTTAAAATTTAAATATTAAATAAACCATCAATTTGTGAATTCAAATGTTAAAATACTCTATTAATCAATACTTTAAGTAGGAAGATTGACGATTATTTGGATAATCGAAAATCAAGTACCTAAATTTTGAATTAACTTGTTAGCGAAAAATTTACATTTCAATATTATAAAATATTTTATTCACCATTAATCAGAAAATTTTTTTTATTAATTTTTATAATATATTAAATTTGTTAAATATGGTTAAACTTTGAACAATATAAGGAGATAATCCTTCTTAATATTGTCGAAATCTAATATTGTTGGCCATCTCTGTATGTGAACATCTGTATGTGATATTAATCGACGATCATACTTGTCACACTCAAAATTTACTGTTGAAAATAGTAAAAATTGCGAGTCGGGATAGTAGAAAGTGGTAGAGTAAAAGTAAAATTTAATCTGTCACGAGTAAAAATTCGGTTAAGATTAATCAAATTTTAGAGTTGTTTCGGTAGGGCCCTTAGGGCACTTATCTCCCAGTTGAGTTTTTGGGGAATATTTGTGAATCTAAGGGAGATAGCGAAATTTTTGTAACAACTATTTTTGTAGAGCGAATTGAGAGCTGCAAACAAGGTTTAAAGTAGCTCTACCCTTCGGCCGGACTACGCTGCACTTTTGGATATTGTCAGTTTTCGGATTTCTCAACTAAATTGCATGGAAAAAATGTGAAAAAATTCATACCCAGTCAGTTTTACCTAAATTAAATTTCACAAAATATTAATATTGTTCAAACATTTCCTTCTTATAAATAAATAATAGAACTTGTTTGCAAAACAGTGCGTCATTTTTTATAAGGTGTCAAAAAATTCATGATCTTTTCACATCTAATGAAAAAAAAATTCAGATTTTAATCTTTGATTACAATGGAAATGTTGATTTTCACTTCTTCGAAAAACCAAAACGATAAGTAAATTGAGAAAAAAATTAGCATTGCGAATCTAATCAAGTTTTTTGGAAGTTTTTTGTAGTTTTCAATCATCTTTGAATTTACCGTAAGGGTAGAGCTACTTTAAACAAAAATTGTGCTATCTGATTTAGATTCCGAGATATTCATTGAAAACTGGCCAATAGTCAAAATTGACTTGAACCGTTTTACCACTTCGCTACTGAATTAAATGGTCTTGTAATCATATTGGTATCATAGGCACTTGAAAAACAGTGCCAAAATTCAGGAACCGCTCAAAAAATTAACAAACCCGAAAACACCTTGAAAGTGGATTAAAGTTGAGCGATAAGCCATCGAGGAGGTGCAAACAGCTCTAGCTGACGCTCCTCACTTATTTGTCCTAGTACCCGATCACTCATTTATTTCATACTCGGATGCAAATGATTTTGGATCAGGTGCGATATTAATCCATTACAATCCCGAAACCAAAACGGAAAATTTTAATCAAGTTTTGAGTAGAACATTACGAGACGACGAATTCCATTATACTACCACCAAGAAGAAGTACCTGACAGCAATCTGGGCGGTAGAGAAGTTGAGGTGTTAATCTCGAAAGAGATGCCTTCCACTATCGTAACTGATCAAACGCTGAAATGGCTCCATTCTCTTAAAAATCCCATCGGGAGAATTGCAAGGTGGGCCATATACCTATATTAGGATAACATTACTATCGAGCACCGACGAGGAAGCCCCTGATGAGCTCTCCCGTTTGGACGATGTCGATGATGACCCACTCGGCTGGGAAAAGTAGTTGAGGAAACATTACGCAATTGATCCATCCTAACACAATTTGCGATCAGGACTGATACGATTCAAAATTCAAACCTGTACGAGACCAACCCGAATGATTCCCTGAATGGGAAATGAAGAATGATCGATCATCGAGATCGACAGCGTATCGACTATTATTATAACCAGATGACCCCCAACAAACCCTCCTACACAACGTTAAAGCTATATGCATAGAAACATACGGAAACGATGGCTGGGGAGGTTTAGCACGCCTCCAATAATAGGTCTTTGCACTACAAAAACCAGGTGTCTGAGAGCTATCTGAATTTAAGATGTCAGATGGTAAAAAACGTCTGAATCTCCAAGTGTCTAAAAATCTCACTAATGTCTGAAAATTTCAACCACCGTTTCTGTCTGAAAATGACGGTAGACATTTTTTGTATCTGAAAAATTTCAGGTATTTATTTTCAGATATTTTCTGTGTCTGGAATTCAGTTATTTATGAGCGATTCAAACATTTCCCTATTAAGATATCTCACCTGATTCAGACGGCAAAGTCCATTCAAACATTAATTTTTAAGAGATTTCTCATGTCTGAAAAGTTGACTCATCCACTGCAAAAACTAGATGTGTGACAACCATCTGAATTTAAGATGGCAGATGGCAAAAAACGTCTGAATCTTTAGAAGTGTCTGAAAATCTAACTGATGTCTGAAAATTTCAAACACCGTTTGTGTCTGAAACTGATGTGTATTATCTTGGTGTCTGAAATTGAAATACCTCCATTGATTCAGACACATTTTAATGTCTCAAAAGTGTCTACAAAATCGTCCCAAAAGTGTTTGAAAAGTGTCTGAAATTCAGACATTAGTGTTCGCAGTGTGCATAAACAACAATAGTTCTCTACTTTCTTTCTTCATTCTCATCAAACCCTTCAAATTGTTTCACTCGCATCCCATATCCTTTCCAATGTACAAGAAATCTCTATTTACCTCTTTTTGTTTTGATCTCTATTGTACACGGTACATTATCATAACATTTAACTAAATATCTCTGTAAATACCAGGCTGAAGGCCTTCGGGTTATGGCCAGTCGCAAGCCCCTTGCGCCAAATCACACTAAAAATAATAAATAAATAAATATAACCAGATTATCAGAAAACTCTCATAGATGATGAGTATCCCTGGAAAAAGAGTGACTAAGTCTGATGACATTATTCATGTACTGCGCGAAAATCTCGATGAACCCCAAGCAGGTCACCTCCATAAAGATAAAACCATCGACCGAATCAGACAGAATTATTATCGACCAGGTATGTCGGCCGATATCAAGTCATACGTTAATAATTGCGAAACCAGCGTCAGGGTTAAATACATTCAGCAGCCAGTAAAAGGTCGTTTTATGACTAAGCCTTTACAACGACCGTGGGCGCAACTCTCGATCGACACAATCATTTCGCAAACTCAGGCACGGAAAGGAAATACAAATGTAATTGTGGTCGAAGACCTCTACACTGAGTACATTGAACTTTTCCTTGTTAGAAATCGTACAGGTGCCACCGTATCAAAAATTTTTGATACATTATTTGTACATTGGGATATCCCGAGGTCATCATCTACGATAATGGTAAAAATTACGTTAATGGCCCAGTAAAAACGTTCTTACTCGTTCGAGGGGTTGAACATGTCACCTCTTCAGGTCATCCCTAAGCTAATCCGGTGGAAAGAACAAACGGAACCGTGAAACGGTAAAATGTAGCGAAGCTACTTATATATTTATTTCAGAATATTTCAATGTATTGTATTCGGGCTTGACTTAGAAACTGAATACCTTACCACAACATCTCGCGACGATTCGTAATAACTCGGACATTCTCGATCGGATGTTTAATACCGTTGTCGCGAGAGCACACTCTCGTTCCAGCTTTCATGGTGTAAACCAAAGTTGCATTTGCTGTGAATAAATCTAATTCGATGTATATTTTAATCCCGAGTGTTATACGTTACAAACTCATCTATCCTTTACCGAATTCCCACAAAAAATTGAGGTAACAAATAAAAAAATAGCAGGCGGCTGTATCTTCGACACAGCTGTAATTGTACGTGGATACATCCATGGTCTTTCCTTCTTTCTCGAATTTCCTAGAAACTCCTTGCATTCCCTCGAATTTTCTAGAAACTCTTTGAATTCTCTCTAATTGTCTAGCAACTCCCTGAATTTCCTCGAAATTTCTAGAAACCCCTTGAATTTTTCCGAAATTTCAAGAAACTTCGCAAATTACCTCGAAATGTCTAGAATTTTCTAGAATTCCGATAGATGGCGCTGCACATAAGGACCGTGTCCCAAAATGAATCCCCATATTGAAACCATAGACGTATCCACGTCAAAATAGCAGGCGGCTGTATCTTCGATACAGCTGTAATTGTACGTGGATACGTCCATGGTCTTTCCTTCTTACTCGAATTTCCTAGAAACTCCTTGCATTCCCACGAATTTTATGAAAACTCCTTGAATTCTCTCGAATTTTCTAGAAACTCCTTGAATTCCCTCGAATTTTCTAGAAACTTCCTGAATTTTCTCGAAATTTCCAGAAACTCCTTGAATTTTTTAGAAATTTCAAAAAACTTCTCGAATTACCTCGAAATGTCTAGAATTTTCTAGAATTCCGATAGACTGCCGCACAGAAGGACCGTTTCCCAAAATGACCCACCATATTGAAACCGTAGACGTATCCACGTCAAAAACAGATGTATGTTCTTGATACCCTATTCATCCACGGGTTATATCAGGACCTCAATTATCGGCCATGCAGAATGCCTAGTTTTCGTACGTGTTATTTATATGGAGATTGACTACACGGAAACTAGTACACCCACGCTATTCAGTCCTGTGTGAGGACAAAAACCTGTCTGATGTTATTATTGTACTTTTAAATTGCCTAGAAAAAGAAGATACAGACATTTTCCGAAAATACTAACACATTGGGAACATTAATCATAAACAGAATTATAATATAAGAGTTTTAGACAATTTTGTAATTGACAAAAAAAATTACGAAAGTTCCAAAAGTTCTTCAGCCAAAAAATTGAAGAATTTTTTAGAATTTTCGTCTAGGAAAGGCGAAAAACTAATTAAAGTGTTCTAAAAATTTTCGAAACTTGCCCATTTCAAAAAATCACAAATTTTGCGGAAGCTTCTCTTAACCAATTTGATATTCTGAAGCATTCCCTCCTTCCTCCAACCCGATTAACCGACTGTACGGGGTGAATGGACCTTGAAAATTCACAAGACGGAACTTATCACTCTTCCTTCACGCATCATTAGTCAGCCAATTGAAGAAAGAAAACGGGTTAAAGGGTTCTACAAAAGTGCCTGCGTGAGAAAAGGGGTCACTTTATCATATGTGATCGAAATATACACATTCTTCCCATGACAACACCTACTCAAACTGTTGTTGGATCATGTCATTAGTCTTCAATAACAACGGAATTTCTCTTCCTATCCGAGTATTTTCCGAGAGATTAGAGATCTGTCACAAGACTGAAATTTTTGTCGTAAACATGAGAAATGTCCGTGAAAGCATTCGAACTGTCTACAGACAAAAATACAATTTATCGTACCACGATCATCTGATGTGAGAGAATCCCATCGAATGGCGAAGGCATATTATTTTTTTAAAAATCCCCAAGAAACTATTCAGTTTTAGCAGCAACACAAATTTCGGGAAGAAAATTCGAGTTTTTGGTTAAAATTATTATTTGTGGCATGCAACATTATAAGTGTTATAAGTGTTTACTGGAAAATATATCCAAAGCCTCACATAATTTATCGTAGAACCAATATATTTACCCGGAAAACATGAATATTTTACCAAAAGAGGTATTCCTTTGGTAATTATCATGTTTTAATCGAAAATATCTTTATTTTCTACACGAATTTGATTCAACGCGATCTCTCGTATCCGTATATAGAAAATATAATTTTTCGGCAAAACTAATTTTTTCTGCGTGTCCTTGACCTATCAGATATTATCTCCGCGATTGTGATTCAATTAAGGCTGTTTATCTAAAACCGCAAGTAGTCAAAGAATTGTTGATTTTTTCGCGACTGATAGACATAGTTATCTTCTTCATGTTGATAAACATGTTATTACACCAACCCAAGTTCCTTATCTAGAAATAAAATAGATGGAATTTGACGTTTTGAACTTCTCCATCTTTTCATTGATACCCCAAAGTTTTCCCACATTACCTTCTATTTTTATAATCTTTACTTTTGGATTCTTCTAGTAGGAAAATATCAATATAAAAATAAATTTAATAAGAGCCCGCGTATAAGGAAAAATAGGTTCATTCAATTTTGTCAAAACTATCGCAACGAAATCTTCCTGAAAAATTCAACAAAGCTTTCTTGATGATCAGCCAAACAAATTACTGCAATTTTTCCGAACATAAAAAACTTTGATTTTCGAAAAATGGATAAACTTTCTGAAATACTCCTCAAGTATTTCTAAAATAAATTCTCTTCTTTTCGCAATAAGTTGATAGACGTGTCCACGTAAAAATTCAGCCAGCATCCTCAGAATCATAGATAAAGCTAGTGTAATAAAAAAATTCTACTCGTTACTTTATTCTCCAAATACCTTTTCATCTCTGCTTGAGAGAAGTAGGTCCAGCCATTGATAGAGAATAGCCCCCTCTTCAGACAATAGCTGCGGATTGAAACACGGTCCACAGCAAAGTAAGCCACTCATCGCCTGTAAGGCGGATAGTTGAAGCTCTGAGCACGTTTTTTCTTCATCAAGTGATGTCGAACTGTTGGTTAAAGGTTTCCCATAGGGGCCGGCCCATGTAGCAAAGAGGGTGAACAAGTTCCTCCGCAGGTCACGTTTTAGCAATGAGTGACATGTATCAACTGCACAAGAGAACATTAAACGTAAAATAGATAAAGCGACGGACAGATCGATGATAAAGCTCTAAATTCCGAGGTTGGATAAATTTACAAAGGGCTTACGTGAGAAACTTTTAATCATCTTTCTGATGAAGTTGCAGAAGTGTAACTTGATGTCACGTACAGCCGGTGCCTCTTTGTCTGTTTCATTTTCTAGGTAAAGCCTGGCACCGTCTATATACTCAACGAATGTGGGGTGCAAGGACTGAGTCTCTCTGTCTAGCACCGCAGGGCTTTTATGAAACAAAAATAAATAGAGATAAAAAGAAAAACGTCATGACAAGATTCTCATAACATCCATCTTCCCCAATGTTTTATTACCAAATTCCAAAAGTTCCATACTCAGCAACAAGTTCTAATACACGAACAAGATGAAGTCTCAAAGCATCCCTTCGCCTTCGGCGTCGCATGTTCTCCTGTTTTCGGTCAACCGCCTCGCGAATATAGGGGACAAGTTCCTCCATCAAATCTCTGAGAAAGAAAGAAGGAAATGAAAGAATTAAGTATTATTTTATAATGAATTAACGAGACCCACTTCAAAGCATCTGGGTTAACTTTTCCAATAGCCTGGACGACAGCATCTCTCACATCGACTGCCTCGCACCTTAACAAGGGCACTGTGAGTTTGTAGAGTGCCGAAGGGCTCGCATTCGTTCCTGGGGACTTGTTATCTCCCCTTTCTGCTGAGAGACTATCCGGGGATGAGCTGTTAAGGGAAAAATGATAAAGTTTACTGAAGAATCCCTCCTCATAAAAGTTATCTCAACTGTTTTACAGCAAAGGGGAAACTACGTGCATTGAAAAGTAATTAAATCTACTTGGGTACGATGAAAGGTGATCTACGCTAATTACAGTCACCTTAGAGTTAGAAACAGTGTAGAGAACGGTTTCGAATTGAACGATAATACGTTTGTCTCTCAGTGCATCAAATCATTAAAATTGTTCTGTAATTATTTAATCAACCCAGTGCAGTGGAACCGTTCTTCCTTAATTTTTGGGTCTTTCATTTTTCTGTGTTTATTTTATTCATTTGCACGTCTCGTCTTTGGCTCACCTGGTCCGCTTATGCCTGGTGTAGATGCCGGATATGGACGGTACGGAGAAACGTCCCGGCAGGGTCTGGGCCCCACCGAGATTCTCCAGGCTCTGACTCAACTCCTTACTCATGCATAATACACCAAACTCCACCGTATGCTGACCACTAGGAGTATGCAATACAGTGTGTACCACCAATGCTCGTTTTAACTCATTATTTACGATTTTTTGAGTCTGATTTTGTATGTTTTATTTAGGTTTTTTGTTTGGTTTGGACAATGACAGATTAGACAGGGAGAGAAGAAGTAATTCTAGAGTATGTTTAGAATTCTAGGGGTAACATCAATTGACATGCGGTGATGCAGTGCAGTTATTGAGAAAAGTGTGGACATGAAAAAGCTCTTGAAATTGTATAAATTGGTGCTAGAATTTTTGCAGTTTCATTTTTTTCCTGTTGATTTCCTCTCTAACTAGAATGCGATTATTGTCACAAGTTCGAAAAATATTGTTTCAAGTGATGACTATTGTGCTGAAATCAAGAGCAAGTGTTACACGGTGGTACAACAGACATAAGCAGACAAGACCCAACACCCATTAATACCAATTAACGCTAGATAGTCAATGTATGAAATATTAATATTTAGCATATCAGTAAATAATTAATATTGTACGTTTCATGTAATTAGAACATTATTGAAGATGTATTCATGTATCAAAGTCCTGACTTACCTGAGGCTGAGGTCTGGGCTGGCGCAGCGAATTATTGGACTGGGGATGGGTGGGACAACGCGATACCCGAAGGTCAAGTAATTCTTCCAGATGTGCATGTACACATCTCGTTCATTCACTGGTTTCCTTACGGCTGTTGAACTCCGTAATAACGAAGCTCTGTTATCATTCACAGGCCTACAAGAATGGACGAACAATTTGAAAGTTAATGGCACAAGTAAATTTGTGGCGAAGTGTTGAGAAGGTATTGGATCAGTATGCTGAGAGAAAAATAAACACGTCAAACAAATCTTGTTTGGGCCAACAAAATCGCTAATTGAAAATTGCCAAAAAAGAATTTGTTTGGTTCGAATTTGAAAGTGTCAAACATGAATAGTTGCTCTGCTTTCAACAGCAACGAAATATTTGGCTCAAGAGGCGGATAATTCACACCAGACGGTGCCTTTTCGGAATGAAAATATCTCATATAGAGGAAAATTTATCAAGAAATATTTTATCCCTAAGTTACAAGATTGCTATCATATCATTATTATTGTTTCATTTAAGAATTCATTTCTTGTCTGTGATTATTAGACAGTCGAAACGAAAAAATACTATCCGTTGTTTCGCATAAAACAAAGATTTTTTTCAAAATGATTTTTAATTCGATCAGTTGCTATTTTGTCTGAAAAATATTTGTGTGAAGAATTCAGTAGCGAAGTGGTAAAACGGTTTAAGTCATTTTTGACTCTTGGTCAGTTTTCAATGAATATCTCGAAATCTAAGAGAAATAGCAAAATTTTTGTTATAACCTTTTTTATAGGGCCGATTGAGCCCTACAACAAATGTAATGACGAAAATTTCGCTATCTCCCTTAGATTCGGAAATATTTCTCAAAAACTCAACTGGGAGATTAGTCGACTTGAACCGTTTTACCACTTCGCTACTGAATTAAAAAATTGAAGATATTATTTTAGATTTATTTATTTGCGAAATTCCGGAAAGGTACACACAAGTGTCTCCTGATCGTTGGAATTTCCTGTTTATCTCCCTGGGGAGATACAAAGGGCGTAGGCGTATGAGAAAAGTCCCTGACCTTTGATTAATCACGTATAGCTGTGTATAACTCACAGGATCGACAAGAAAAAATATTAACTAACGATAAACACTTGAAGAGTATCGGGCGGTTTTTATCATTCGAAACTTCATTTTTATTTTCCGAAATTTCCATTTCAAATATCGCAGTCGAGATTGTTGATAATCATACCGGTCCGCGAAAAGTAAAAATATTTAACAGACGGAAAACATCTGATGGTTTCCAGCTATTATTCAATTCATAGAAAAATTAAATAAAATGTATTTTTCTTAGGACGTCTCAGGCTCTTGAAAAATTTCGCCAAATCCATTCTTTTCATTAAATTAATCCGTAAGTTGAGGGATTTGCCCATACATTTTAGGTCGAGATGATTTTTTCATGGGATTATATGTTTTTTAACCCACAGAATCCGAATATCGAGGTCTCTAAGCCGAATTCTAATGAGTTTTTTTCATTAACAATTTATCAATAAACAATTAGAAATGCAATTTTTTCAAACGGAAAACATTTTATGTATAATATACGTGATTTTAGAGGGGCAGGGGGGGGGTCCTCAGGAATTTGTCCCAATTTGCAATGCTTTCATGAATAACAACTCTATTTTCGATATTGCTGAATACCTTTTGTAAAATTATTTTCTTTTGAGTTTCTTGGTGTTGCGTAAGTTGTTCACATGGCACATGCGTGATGCATAAAGAAATCGACTCTAGTTATACCGGATTGACTCCTTGTCTGAATAGTTTCTTCAAACAGAAAATGAAAAATGGTCGTGTTTGCAATGTTTTTTTGGTGAAGAAAAAAAACTCCGTATATTGAAGGCACTTGAAGAAAGGTAAGTCGTCATGATTTTTCCGCTCAGCTCAACCGTTTGTTAAATAAAAAAATTAATAGATCCATTCGTTAAATTGCGAGCTTGCGAGATCATTTATTCATGAATTTTTATCGATGAAACCGTTGCGATTAACGAAAAATGTCTCAGAACTTCCCCCCCCCCTAAAAATCACATATATTTTACAGAAAAATATTTCTTCAGCCGGAAAAGTAGCATTTTCACTTGTTTATTAATACACTAGCTTCGCGCCCGTCGCTAAATTAATTTATTCTATAAATACATGTTTAAGTGGCCTTGCGATCGCAATAAATCCAAAAAAAAATTCAAATTCTAATGAGTCAAGGGCACTTAAACATGTATTTATTGATTAGCACGGTCGAATAATTATCTTCACTTCATTAATTTATACTATGTTATTTTATTTTATTTTCTTTCCGTTTCCATCTTCACAATTAGATTAATGTAATTTTATTCATCCTCATTGTTATTATATATATGTTTGTCCCTTAATTCGTAAGTTACAATATTCAATGAAGAGGAATTCCCCATAAATCACGTGAAAATACAGCACGACAAACAATTTTCGATAATCATACCTAAAATTTTTCATTTCTTTCTTTTTCTTTAAATTAATTAGTACCAATGATCTGAAAATGTGAACGAATATGAACATTGTACATCCTTTTGATCTCATTTCAGTGGAACCGCAGGAGGAAATTGCAAAGAGAGATCGATCATCAATCAGTATCAATAAAATGAAAAAATCTATTTCTTTGTCTTTTCGAAAATTTTCAAATCGTTTTCTTCTTCTTAAAAAATGAAGGAAGATTAACATTTCTAGTTTCCATGATTCCGTTCACAGAAACAGGAAATATGGAGAATGTAGGGAAAGAAAATCAGAAATAAATTTTAAAAATCGATTTTTCAATCGTGAAAATTTTAAAACGTTTTTTTTTAATAATGAAGAAAAATCACTGTATTTTCTTTCTATTATCTAATTCTGATGGAAGAAAGTGAAGAGAGGAAGAGAAACGAGAACAATACGAAAACAGAATTTTTAATTTTTCAATGTCTAGGGAAAAGTTCAAAATTGATATATTTTTTCGAATAATGAACCAATATCCATAAATTCAATTCCTAGCCTCACATTTTCATAGAATACATTGAAAAAATAGCAAAGAATTCAAATCGGCGATGAAAAATTTTATCGGATTATTATTATGTATGTAATTGGTAATAACAAAAAGCCTCACAGAAATTAGACCCACAGACTATTATATTTATATTCACTGGGTCGAAAAGCATAGAATCCAATGGAAAAACCATCTAGATCTAAAATGTGTGCATCCCCCCCCCCCCCNAGCATTTTCACTTGTTTATTAATACACTAGCTTCGCGCCCGTCGCTAAATTAATTTATTCTATAAATACATGTTTAAGTGGCCTTGCGATCGCAATAAATCCAAAAAAAAATTCAAATTCTAATGAGTCAAGGGCACTTAAACATGTATTTATTGATTAGCACGGTCGAATAATTATCTTCACTTCATTAATTTATACTATGTTATTTTATTTTATTTTCTTTCCGTTTCCATCTTCACAATTAGATTAATGTAATTTTATTCATCCTCATTGTTATTATATATATGTTTGTCCCTTAATTCGTAAGTTACAATATTCAATGAAGAGGAATTCCCCATAAATCACGTGAAAATACAGCACGACAAACAATTTTCGATAATCATACCTAAAATTTTTCATTTCTTTCTTTTTCTTTAAATTAATTAGTACCAATGATCTGAAAATGTGAACGAATATGAACATTGTACATCCTTTTGATCTCATTTCAGTGGAACCGCAGGAGGAAATTGCAAAGAGAGATCGATCATCAATCAGTATCAATAAAATGAAAAAATCTATTTCTTTGTCTTTTCGAAAATTTTCAAATCGTTTTCTTCTTCTTAAAAAATGAAGGAAGATTAACATTTCTAGTTTCCATGATTCCGTTCACAGAAACAGGAAATATGGAGAATGTAGGGAAAGAAAATCAGAAATAAATTTTAAAAATCGATTTTTCAATCGTGAAAATTTTAAAACGTTTTTTTTTAATAATGAAGAAAAATCACTGTATTTTCTTTCTATTATCTAATTCTGATGGAAGAAAGTGAAGAGAGGAAGAGAAACGAGAACAATACGAAAACAGAATTTTTAATTTTTCAATGTCTAGGGAAAAGTTCAAAATTGATATATTTTTTCGAATAATGAACCAATATCCATAAATTCAATTCCTAGCCTCACATTTTCATAGAATACATTGAAAAAATAGCAAAGAATTCAAATCGGCGATGAAAAATTTTATCGGATTATTATTATGTATGTAATTGGTAATAACAAAAAGCCTCACAGAAATTAGACCCACAGACTATTATATTTATATTCACTGGGTCGAAAAGCATAGAATCCAATGGAAAAACCATCTAGATCTAAAATGTGTGCATCCCCCCCCCCCATCAGACTAAATATCTGAAAACAATCTACTGACCTTTTTCACTACTATTTTCTTGTCTTGAAGTAACCCAAGGCTAATTTACCCTATCTAATGTTTCCAATTTCACGTATATAGGTGGACATTAACTGTATTTTAAACAGAGAAATACTGTGAGCTACTTATTCTCCCCCACAGCTTCCCCGATGAAATCGATAGCTAACGAAAATGGCTGGGAATATTAAGGAAATAAATGCAGAAGTTAACGAGCATAATGTGCTAATCTGTTCCGAATTACAATGTTTTCTCCCCTACCAAAACAATTTCACCAATGATTACCCGTTAATTAAATAAAATTGAACTTACGTCGGATCAACAACAGTAAACAGCGAGTTAATCCTGGTGAAGACGATGGGCCACGAGTGGGCAGTTGCATTTGGACACAACGTCAAGACCCTGTCCCTCTCCAAAAATGCGAAGAGACAAGTGCTCCAAGGATCAGCGCCATTCAGATTCAACAACGAAGAACTCTTGGTGCTGTTTTCATCATGGAAGCCAGCAGTCCAGACACAGCTGCTCCTCTCAGCAATCCACTGGAGATCCACATTTGAGGTGGAAGCAGCAGCTGCCTTTTCAGCAGGTGGCAGCATGTGATAGCACTTTTCCAGAACAGTGGGACAGCAGGCATCAATGACATCAATAACAGACTGATCAGTCTCCAGTCCCCCCAGTGCCTTCAGCAGCACCTTAACTTCCCTCAGAATATGCACAGCAAGTCGTCGAGGGTATAGCCGACAATTGCAGAGCATCACAAGTGCAAATCCCTCAACGAAATGGAAAACACTGGAGGCCTGCTCGACCTTCTGCGTTGGATCTGTCTTCTTCACTGCAGCCTCAACTCTCGGATAAATCCTGTTACTCTCACTCTGTTCCTTAGCCCTGGGACTCGGACTGGTCAGTGCATTCTTCCAAGACGTCAACAACTGCAGCAGCATCCTCAGCCCATTGTCAACGAGCTGAGGGAAAGTGTCCTGCACGTCTCTAGCCAAGAACTGAGTGAAACCTAAAACAACATCTTGTCTCCAATCCGGGAAATCCAGGACCAGTGTCTGCAAACTTTGATAGGCCAATCCTCGTAACTCCTCGTCCATGTGAACCGTCAATCGCCCAAGAAGATCAACAAGTTCAGCTCCAGTCATCCCATCGGGAATCAGTCTAGGCACAGCAGCCACGCAAGTCCTGAATAAATCAATTCTAGGTTTTCTCTCTCCTGTTATCATCTCGTCAGGCTCTTTGTTCATATTCTGGGTGCTGGTCATCATCAGGGGGCGACCGTAATGGACGTCCAGAGCTCTGAGAATATCCACAAAGACCCTTCGAACGTGGGGGAAGTACGAGGACATGCCAATGCTCCTCGCAGTGTCTTCTGTTAGCATTTTATTGAGAAAAGTCTTTTTAACTCGCATCGTGTTGCCACTGGGGAGGACCCCCATGGTCCTAGGCATCGGGGGCTCTCCTTCTTTCTGTTGGAGACTATCAGCCACGACTAAGAATGCCCTCAGACCGATGCTCATTCGTTCTGGGGTCAGGATTACCTTCACTGGTCTCCCAACTGATAATAAATCGAATACTATTTCCCTCATAGCGAAATCCAGTCTCTCTTGAGCTATGAATTGAATAATCTTGACAAAAATGTTGAGTGGAGTGTCTCTAGGCATCACTGCTTTGGACCCCTTGGGAAATAGAGAGTTTACGATGCTCTGGAGTCGACTCTGAGTCGCTGAGTTACTCTCGCATTTAATCCTGATCATGTAGACCCATAGCAGTCGATACAATGCTTCCAGAGCGACTCGACTCATCTTTGGATCTCGAGTCTTCAGGTGAGAGAGACACATCGCTAGGAAGTAATGCCAATTTGCCAGGAAAAATGTCTTCTGGCTGACGCAGAGGAGGCATGTAACCAGTGGAAATAGAGCTAATCTGTGTTTTGATTTAGTGCACATGTCTAAAGTATTTGAATAAAGCATTTCAACGAAGTTCTTCAAACAAGGAACATTCACTTCGTTTTTCACTGCAGCTGCAACAGGTACTAATATCTCTACGAACAGTCCAGCGAGTGCATGCTTCACGTCTTTATCTTTGACTTCCAAGAAATACTGGGCACATTCCTGCATAAATTGGAAGGATGCTTCAAACTCCTCGATTGGCACCATCTTCACTCTGAAGAATTTCATACCCATGAGGAGGGAAATTATGCTCTGGGTCGTGTGGGGGCCAGGTTCCTTGGCCCTCAGATCCTTCAAATCCGCCATGAATCGTTTTCTGACAGCCATGAATCTCGATTGAGCCAGTACTCCAATTACCTCAGCAAAGAGATCAGCAATTATGTGGATATTTGCAGCATTAGGCTCATTCTGAATGCCCTCTCTGTACTTGAAGTGCTTGAATGCGATGTTTTCAATGTCTGTGACAAGATCCTCATGGCCAGGATGAAAAGGCAATTGTCGTAAAACTTCAATCAACATCAGGCAGAAGATGAATTCAACAGCTAGGTCACGACGTTCTTGGAGTAAATCGGCTTCACTCCTCTCTGGGATCTCAACGTTTGAAGAGACAATTGTGTACATGATACTCTTGCCTTTCTGATCATCTTTACCGGGGGCTGGCTTCTTCTGGTCACTCCCCTGGTCCACCAACTGCCTCTCGTACCATCTGAAGAGTGAACGAAGGATCGAGGGGAGGCAGTGCTCAGCCACTGTCCCAAAGGCTGACAATAACTGGTCGAACTGGGCATCTTCACCCCTCTGGAGGACTTTCGAGAGTGGTTTCTCAGTCTCAGTCATCACTGCTTCAATCTTCCTCTCTGCCTGACCAGCAAAGTCAGCGAAAAGAGTTCGCATGACAAATTCACCGGGTCTGAGGTCCATGTCTTCTATCTGCTGAGGTTTCACTGTCTCCTTCTGGGCTCCCCAGGGCAAAACCACTGTCACTGCACTCACACGACTGGAACTAGTCTCTGGAATATTCACGGAGAAAAGAGATTTTAAGTTTCTAGGAATATGTCTGAAACAATTTTTAAATTTTTAGATTTCTAGATTTTTAGATTTTCAGATATATTTTTTATACATCTGAAATGTCCAGTGATTTCAGAAGCGAAGTGGTAAAACGGTTTAGGGATCCAAGTAGCTTTTATAGTTTGATGCAGACTACAGTATAGATTTAATCATTATCAATCATCAAATTTGTCAGCTCACCAAAAAAAAATTGATTTGTCAATTAAATTGCGCCTGAAAAATTTGAAAAACATTATGAATATTCTGCGTCATTCAAATTACATTTAGCATAGAATTACTCTTTTTTTAAACATTTGTTATTTATAAATAAATAGGGGAGGGTGGGGTAAAATTGACACTTTTGACTTTTTTCATTATTCATAATTGAGAAACAAATTTATCAATTGAGCTCAGTTTAGGCTCATCACAAAGGGAAAGAATTGTTCTTTGCATTGAAAAAGATGATTCTATTTCATCAACATTTCAACCCGTCATTATCATTAAGGGGTAACGGAAGCCGTTGAAATAAACTTATTTATGTTCAAGCTTTTCTTTTATTCTATACAATATAAATGGCCGAGATTTTCACCACTTATTAAGGGAAGTATAAGGGAGGGTTTGTAACCCTTCATATATAAGAGAAAATTTTGCAATTTTTTTCATAACAATTTTTTTTGCAAAAATAAAAAAATGGAGAGTTACATACCCTCCCTCATGCTTCCCTCAATTTGTGGAGAAAATTCCAGCCATTTTTATTGAATAGAATCAGAGAAAAGCGTGAACAAAATCTGCTCTTTTCGACGGGTTCCGCTACCCCTTAAAAAACAAAGTCAAACGTGTCCATTTTATCCCACCCTCCCCTAATTGAAATTGTTTAAACGTTCGGAAACCTTAATTTTTTAGGCATGAAATTTCAAGCTGGAGTTCTGGCTACAATTATTTCTCGCAATATTCGTGTCATAGGGTTTTTAATTTTTTAGCTTTTCCTCATATTATTACCAATCATTCTATTTTGTAACGCAACCTCATGTTATCCGCATAAAATATAAACTTCTTAGTATTTGTAAGTAAAAGCTCAAAGGCTGAGGCTATTCAAAACTTGCTTGGTGCCTTTAAATGACCACAAAGGAGAATTCAGTAGTGAAGTGATAAAACGGTACAAGTTAATTTTGAGATAGCAAAACGGTACAAGTACAAACGGTACAAGTCAATTTTGAAATAGCAAAACGTTTTTAAAACTTTTTTGTAGAACCGATTAAGACCTGTAACAAATGTAATTACAAAAATTTCGCCATCTCCCTTAGATTCGAAAATAGTCCCCAAAAACTCAACTAGGAGATAAGTCGACTTAATTTAAACCGTTTTATCACTTCGCTACTGAATTGTTCTTTAAATAAAAAAAATTATCGCATTTTCTTCACAATTCAATGAGTCATTAACGAATCCCGGAAACACAGACCACGAAAAAAATAGACCAACGGAAAATTTTAAGTTGGAAGGGTTTTAACATGTTTTGGATGTGTGTGCTATTTTTTCCTGGTCTATTTTTTCCGTCTACCATCTCAAAGAAGAAGAACTTTTTATTCTCTGTTATTTTCCGGATTGAGTAAGGGATTCAGGGCTATTTTTCGAGTTGAATCACTCACCATAGCCAGATACTGAGGTACTGGCAGTGTAAATGCTCGCCACATCGCTCATCTCTCCCTGTATAGACCCATGAATTGTCAAAGGATCCTGAACCGGTACAGACATGTCCACTCCACTGTCATGGGTTGTCTCATTGTGTCCACCCCTCTGTTCACCAGGGCCTACGTGAGAAATAAATGAAACTCCTGTGTTTTTCCCCTGCTAATTACACAATGTCAGAGCCACTAGGGTCAACTGACACGACGAAGCCCTGACTCAGCGTCACTTTAAAGTACCTACACTCGTTTTCTAATTGAATTATCAATGTGTATTTGCATTTGTGTGTGACACACGTGGCTAAATGGCATTGAAAGACCCAATAGACTTACCCGAGTGTGTACCATCGCCTGTTGGCTGATTATCCGTACCTGGAACATACACATAGGCAGTTGAAGATTGATGATAAATATTGTGGCTTCAAGCCTATTTAAAGATTTTATTACTTGCGACGATTGAATATTTACCCTCAACCATCTCACCGATACTCGTTTCACCTTCCGGCAACATTTTTCAGGTCTCTAGTCCATTCCTAATTCAACAGATAACGAAAATAGGATTTTTCACGGAATTTATAATAGACGGTTATCTCAGCTGTTGGCAATGAAACTCAGATAAGTGCCAGTCAACTGTGATAATAGATCAGGTCAATGGACTAATCACAAATCCGTTGGAAAATCTGTTATCCAATTGATATCAATGAGTGAAAATCATTATTTAATTTCGTAATTTTACGGCTGTTGATAAATATTTTGTAACTGCGAGGGAGAAAATGATTTTATTCCGCTCATTATTGATCGCCACTGGGGAATATTCATTCGAGTCTTGGATAAACTTAAGACGATTAAACGTTACTCCTGGGGTGAGAGACCTTTTTACGAACTACGTGTTTGCATAGCCGGAAAAAAAACAGAGAACTTGTAACTCTATAACCTGAAACGTCAAATGACGGTAGTCCAGTGTCTCCTTTGTGCTCATTGGGATGAATCACTTCTATTGTTTAACTGGATCATTGTTTCATGCACTGTGGATGTGATTAGATACAGTCTACGGTTTTCTTGACAGCGTAATTGTGTCAACGTCTTCTTGATTCATTAGAATTAGACAATAAGAAGAAGTAGAAGAAAGGAGAGCAGTAAAACTTCGAACGATAATTTTGTACTCTTTGTTTTGACGGAAAAAAAAATGGTTTGAGCGGCCCAGAAGATGGCGCCCGATCGTCGTGGACCAATAGGCGCTGGGGTTCAGTTCCGGATAGGAATTTGGCGGTGTTTTCGAAGATTCAACACAGCAGAAAATATGAGGTGTTCTTCGAATTAATTTACAGGAATTTAAACAGAAGCAAGGGAATCGGATTCTATTGCAATCATAATTAGAGATGTCAGTGTCGGTTTATTGTTCTTATCGATACTGCAACCGTACACTTCAGGGACGTTCAATCGTCTCCAAGACGACATCGCCCCCAACAATTTATATCCTTTCAGTTTATTTTATTTATTCAGAGAATAATGAGATCAAATCCCTGGAAATGTGTCAAAACCTGTTTATTTGGAGGTCCTTCCCTTGCATTTAAAATTAACAATCCGAATAAATAAAAATTGTTTTCTTGTAATGTGATTTTTTTTACTGCTGAGCACTTCCACACGGACACATTTAGCAATAATCTATTCTGTGCAAGGTCCCACGCGCTTACTCGTGCATAAGTTTCAAAATACTATAAATAAAATTGGTTTTTGTGTTGGCGGGTAGATGTTGGATAGAGCAGCCAAATGATCTATCGGTGTATTAGTGGAGAATGAAGAATTACAGGACTAGTGAGCGCGTGCTCCATTGAACTTTGGGATCTCTGAGAGATTTGCACGAGTGAGACGAGAATTGTACCTGGCTTTTGGCCAGAGTTACGCAACCAACTGTGTCCCGTTGACCTGCTTAAATGCCCCCGCGTCATTTGACCTTGCTTCTCTTTCCCAGGGATGAAATGAAGGGAATTTACCCGATTCGATATTTCACCTAGTCCACTGTACTGCAAGCGCACCTCCGATAATTCTTTTCCCCGACCTTTTGGGTTAAAACTAACTCTCGGGTTTTACATAATTGAAGGAGTTGGAATTCCATCGATTATTGCAGTCGTATCTCCCGCTGGTTGTGACAAAGACTGCGCGCGCAATCACTTGTCAAATATCCTTCAAATTATCACATGACAGCGGGTAGAAATTATACGACACTTCATACATTTTGAAATTATCAGAATCATTGCAATTCAATTTTCATTGAGAAAAGATTGATATCTGTCAAAAAAAAATGGGACTCCCTCGTTCCTCTCGGGTCTTCCCACCAATGACAACTGCGACCCTGACACTGCGACGACGCTGATTGGTCCATTTCCGTCGGAAGTGTCGTTGAAACCGCGGCAAAATACCTGTCATTCAAAATAAATCCCCAAACTGTCCCCCAAAACCTCTGCACAATGATGAAAATAAATTTTTGACAAAATCATTGGACATTTTTCTCAACTACCAATGCCAGTTGTCGATTGTGACATTGAGAATGACAGTCTGAGGTGGAAAATTCAAGTGTCAGGGTTCTGACACTACGCGGGTGCGCAGAAGTCGAGCACGTGACCTGCGCAGCTATTCTTAGCGTAGGTAGGGTCGGCATAATCGAGAAGAACACTCGGCTCGCTCACTCGTCGTCCGGCGCGCGTCCATTACACACCTCGACACATTAAGAGGAGGGTACCATACTCCCGTTTTTCTTCCTTTAACTGAAAAAGTTTTAAAACCCAATACACAAAATGTCTCTCGCGGATCCCGTGGCCTTTGCCAAGGATTTTATCGCCGGTGGTTGTGCCGCTGCCATCTCAAAAACTGCCGTAGCGCCGATCGAACGTGTCAAGCTGCTTCTTCAGGTACAGCACATCTCGAAGCAGATCGCTGAGGACCAGCGTTACAAGGGTGAGTTGAAAATTATATTATTTTAACCTCTCATGGCAGCATTGTACGTCAATCATTTCATTCCTGGAGCTTCTTAGATCTCCCATGTGATTGGAGCCCACCGCGTGGGCCAAATTAAGACACTCAATGAGAAGGAGAAAAATCAAATTCCTCAGCATGTGACGGATCTAATCGTGCCAATGTCATCGGGTAGAGACGCGTGTCGAGGTCACGAGTCATTCGGTCTACCATCCATTACTGGGGAGGGTTTTCCGTTACGTAACGCCCAGTTTTTCCTACTTGGGATAAAAATTAATGACCCGCATTCACTCCTGTCTCCAAGTTTTCGCACTATTTCTGTGAGAAAATTCCTGGGGCTGTTGTAAACGGTTTATGTAATAAAGATCATCACTCGATTCTTACATAACTCGATGAAGAGAGCATGCACTTTTGTCTTTTGGCAAATCGGGTCGATAAGAGACAATCCAGATGGCGTTTTGCTTCCTTCCGAATGGAATAAGAGAAGGAAAATGTTCACTGGGTACTGGCGTCGATCGATGACGATGCGGTCCAACATGGCGGTTAATTTTTTCATGTGCCATGAGGCCGAGAATGGATGAAAGGTCTATCGCCGTATATGATTCATCTCTCTCGATCGACTTACTCCAGACTATCTTCGGTGCAAACTTTAATTCGACATTCCGGGGCATTATCAGAAGACGATAACACGCATTTGTGGCGTTTTTTGCTGGAGCTAGATCCGGGGAATTTTTAAAATGTCGAGTAGAAGTGTTGGGGGTTCAGTTGAATTGTTTGAGGTATGACAAAGGGGGCGAGTGCAATGTGACCTCAATACCACATCAGGGGAATTAAATGACCGGTTGCAGGCGGTTTGTACTTGACCATTGACGTTAGAACCGACTGGGAAAGATGCCAGCGTTCATTGGGATCCTCCAACGACGATAAATGTCAAAAATGTCCCATCGTGCCTTTCAATAATTGAATAGCTGAAGAATGTATAGACTGATAAAATTATAATTTGCACTAGACATCCGCCATTTTGGATAACTCGTGGAGGTTAGGCTCCAACGTGGTCACTACCACCCTGTTCCGAGGATCAAACTAATGCGAATGATGAAGGGGAGCTGATGTGAAGCAACAGTGATGAATGCCTTTTTGCTTTCGAATGGAGGCATTGTAATAGTTCGAACTTAAATTTTGGATTTTTTGGATTAATTGACTCATTATGATCCAGAAAGTTCAAAAATGCAATTTTTAGTTAAACTAAGGTTTTCTTCAATTCAGTAGCGAAGTGGTAAAACGGTTTAAGTCGACTTATCTCCCAGTTGAGTTATTGGGGAATGCTTCCGAATCTAAGGGAGATGGCGAAATTTTTGTAATAACTTTTTTGCAGAGTGAATTGAGATCTGCAAAAAAGGTTTGAACAAAAATTTAGCTATCTGGCTTAGATTCCGAGATATTCATTGAAAACTGGCCAATAGACAAAATTGACTTCAACCGTTTTACCACTTCGCTAATAATTGGATGGAATTGAATCTTTTTTTTTCAAATATAGATATTGTTGGGCCTTATCGATCGCCATTAATTCAAATTTAATTCATCGATTAAGTTTTTTTAATTTTTGAAATGTTTCGAAAATCGGTTGTCCTACGATAACTAAAAAATGGTCTTAATTGATTGAATGATGGCATGAAAAATTAGTTTGGTTGTCCCTTTGACCAAGTTCGAAGATGAAGGCAATAGCAATAATCGTTATTTTGATTTATTCGAAAATTTTCAAAAATTTTGTATTTTTTGAAAATCAGAATTCTTATCTTGGGAATATCTTTGAGTATCATGCTTCAAATGAATTCAATCACAGCTTAAAATGTTTGTGTTAATGCCATTAAGTCGAAGTTAAAGGATGATTACGATAGCTATATTGGTTGATTTAATTTTTATGATGATTGTTGAAAATTTAGAATTTTTCATGAATTTCCCTGAAAGTGAGCTTTCTGATGGTTTCTTCAAACGTGATGTTTCAAATTCATTGAAGTATGTGTAAATAAAATTTTTCTATTAATCTTTTATCGGAGAGCTGAGGGGAGAGATAGAACTGTAAAAAAAGACCATCGATTGTATAGAAGAAAAGGGATAATAAGAATAACGATACTGATAACATTCAACTAAGTTGAAAATCTGTTAAAATTAGGTAAAAGGAAGTCTTATTCAATTTAATAAAATGAAATAAACAATGAATTATACATGATAGAAGGAAATGATGTTCAAAATAGCCATTCGGAAGCATATTGCTAATTTATTAGCAAAAGTAACTATACTATATGCAATAGAAGAGCAATTTTCCATTTGTTTTATTGCTTCCGAACGGAAGCATTGTAATTGTTCAAATTTAAGGCCCGGGTGTACTATCTTTCGAATGTTATCTGGATTTTTTTTATCTTTCGTAATCCAAAATTGTCAATTGAGTGGTACATCATGTAGAAATTCCCAAAAATTATGATAGAATGATAAAAAAAAATAGAAAAAATTCTGAACTTTTTCAAAGAGCGTTTTTAATTGAGATTCAAAATGAGTTGAAGAAAGTGGAAATTACAAATATCTGATTCGCTGTGGCAAATTATCTATTAGCTGTCATTTTCCATGATGGATAACAAAACACTAACTCGTCATGGGAAGTGACAGCTAGGTATCTTAATTTTCAAAACAGTGGTATGTAGTCATCTGCCATTTTTATGTGATAAAAGTGTGATGAAAAAATTCTCCAAAATATTACAACTTTTTTCAAAGAGCCTTTTCCGTAATAAATGTCTCTGTGCAGTGTAGGAAAAGATTTACGAAATCAGTCTTCCCCCTGCATGATATTGGGTGACAGGCCGCCATTTGTCACCGTAAATCAAATAGATTTTTCAATTTCTTGTTATTCAACTTATTTTGAATATAAATTAAAAATGGTCTTTGAAAAAATTAAGAATTTTTCTACTTTGTTTTGATTATTTATTCATAATTTTTCAAAACTTCTGCATGATGCAGGACTTAATTGACAATTTCAGATGACGAAAGATGAAACAAAAACATCGAGATAACGTTCGAAAGCTAGTACACCCGGACCTTAAGTTTTGGATTTTTTGTGTTATATCGACCCATTATGATCCAAAAAGCCCGAAAATGTAATTTTTAGACCGTGTCCGTACGTATGTATGTATGTTTATGGTAAAGTTTTCCTTCAGTTCTTCGCTAATGAACCCATGGAATTAAATATTGCTAATTTATTAGCAAAATAATTATACAACATACAATACAAAAACAATTTCCCATTTGTTTTTCTAGGTATGATCGATTGTTTCGTCCGTATCCCAAAAGAACAGGGTTTCCTCAGTTTCTGGCGTGGTAACTTCGCCAACGTCATCCGTTACTTCCCCACTCAGGCCCTGAACTTCGCCTTCAAGGACAAGTACAAGCAGGTATTCCTTGGTGGTGTTGACAAGAACACCCAGTTCTGGCGTTACTTCGCTGGTAATCTTGCTTCTGGTGGTGCTGCTGGTGCCACATCCCTCTGCTTCGTCTATCCACTTGACTTCGCCAGAACCAGGTAATTATAAAATTACATCTTCAAACAATACGAATGAACAGATCGATTGGGATAAAACGAGATGAGTCAATTCAATGTCAGAATAGATCATTTCTTGCTAAACATCTCTGAATTTGAGTGGAATAAACTTTTTTACATAAGAATCTTTTTCGTGAGGTAAAGAGCTACAAAAAATGTCTTTATAAAAATTTTCCTATCTGCCTCATATTTCAGATCTACAATTTAATTAACAACAGCTAATTGATGAAGTGAGATGAATGATTTCAACTTCAAAAATCCTGAGGTTTTACTGAACATCTCCAAATTTTAAAAGACTAGATGTTCATTTAACGTTTGAGAAAAATTCTATTGGAAATTCTATCAGTTTTCCGCCGATTCTATTGAAATATTCTGCAGCTTTTCTGTTCGTTTGTTTTTCAATTAAAAAGCTTCATTAGAAACCATTTAATACAAATTTATCGACATAATTTTTTCAAGGTTTCTTCACTCTTCTTCATCCTTTTTTGTCTCATTGAAAAAATCGAGCAAAAAAACTTGTAAAATTTAGGAAGAAGAATTTCTATACGAAATATATTAATCGAATAAGATATACAGAAAAACTAGATTCTGTTGATTTTTTCTATGAAATATTTTCTACAGAATATTTTCATTCCAAAATATGCGCAGAAAAGTGGAATTTTTCAGTAGCAATATTACGAGTGCTACAAAATTATCGTTCATTGTTTGACAAATTCGTTGCATATGAAAGGATATGTCAAATCTTTCTGAAAAATTCACCACAGTTTTTCTGTGCAGGGAAGTTTGGGGAAATCAGCCGATAATTTTGGAGTACTCGTGGTTTTCGTTCGAATATTTTTTTTAGTCGGATGTCAGCTGATAGAGTGGAGTATTTCGAGGAAAAAACAAATACAAAACTAGGCGAAAATTTTCGAAATAAAACTGTTTGACAGCCTCAAATACTTTGCTCCGATTGACACCCGAGGAAAAAAAATATTCAATCTGTTGAATAGAAATATTCAGTTTATTAATTCTACTCCATAACAAAACTAATAGAATTCTCTATTCCGATCCCAATAGAAATTTTACGCATTAATCTATTATTTAGTATTCCAATTCCAATAGATTTTGTACGCATTAATCCCTTAAGAACGGCGCTCTTCTGACACTGATCTCACCGTGCGCTATATAGCGACGCAATTCTCTAATTTCCAATACCCCAAAAGAGACATAAACTGAGAGTAATCATACTCAACCGATTAGTTTTCACAACAGTTCCAAGTGCCCAAATTTACAAAGTTCTATATCTTCGTAAATATTTAACTTGGAAAAGAGTCATTCATTCACATGTCGGTCCATATGTGGTACGAGCAAAGGAAGAACTACCAAAAGGTCCGTAAGAAATAGAAAAAAAATCTCTTTGCAACCTTCGAAAGACTGACCTACAACTTGAATTGAACTATCGCCAAGTGATTCGTGCAGAATTTCTAATTTGCCCTTTTGAATCACAGATTAGCTGCTGATGTCGGTAAAGCAGGTGGTGAGCGTGAGTTCACCGGTCTCGGTAACTGCCTGACCAAAATCTTCAAATCTGACGGTCTGGTTGGTCTCTACCGTGGATTCGGTGTATCAGTCCAGGGTATCATCATCTACCGTGCCTCATACTTCGGTTTCTACGACACCGCACGTGGTATGCTCCCAGACCCCAAGAAGACTCCATTCCTCGTCTCCTGGGGTATTGCACAGGTCTGTACACTGTCTCAAACATGACGAAACCAAATCTGTAGCGAAGTGCTAAACTAGAATAAGTGCAATTTTTTTGAAAAATTTTCTACTGCTCAAATAAAAAATTCTTTCAAACGTCGTCAAACTTTTTAAGTCTCCTGAAAAAGTTTCATTTTTGTACTTACTCTAGTTTACCACTCCGCTGCAGAAATAAATCGATGAATTCATTAATTGAAAGCAACTAATAATGATTTTCTCTTAAACAGTGTGTCACCACTGTCGCTGGTATCATCTCATATCCATTCGACACAGTACGTAGGCGTATGATGATGCAGTCTGGTCGTGCCAAGTCTGAAATGCTGTACAAAAACACCCTCCACTGCTGGGCAACCATCTACAAAAGTGAAGGTGGCGGTGCCTTCTTCAAGGGTGCATTCTCGAATGTTCTCCGTGGTACTGGTGGTGCCCTCGTATTGGTACTCTATGACGAGATCAAGAACCTCCTCTAAACAGTTTTTCCAAGCCCACAACAACAAGAAAAACCTTTATCCCGTATTTTTCCCCGTCACCCATCCACTCGACAAAACACTGCGACCCCTCACCATCATCATCAACAACAATAATCACCGGAAGATTCACTATTGAAACGTGAAACATGTCAAGCAATTCAAGAAGCCGGAAATAAATCAACTGGCCACGCCGGAATCTCTGGACACGATCTACAGCCGTTGAAGAAAAAAGGAAAAATCGAAAAAAAATATCAAAGAAAAAGGAAAATATAACACTTGTCGACAATTTCATGAATGAAAAATGAAGTTACGGTAGCTTAACGTGCTTTGGCTCATGTAACAAGCCTTAGCTCAATTCAGTTTATCTAATATTGTTATTTTTTTCGTTCTTTCTTTTTTTAATTTATTACCGGATTCAGTATTCTTTGCAATGACTCCCGGTATGACATTATTTAAATTTAAAAAAAAATAGCTGAATTTTAATTTAATTATTACAATTCCTCGCTTGCGAGCGGATCGCGGGCGTGGCAACGACATTTGTGAAATTGAACGGCACGTCCCTCAAAACGACGACTGCCTAACGAAAAAAATAAATAATTTAAAAAACAAAAACTAGAACATTCATAATTTAATGTAATTCAATCCAGACGCAAGTCTGTCGGCTCATCACGTTGATGAGTGATTAAAAAAATTGGAGATAAATGAAGAAAATGTTCGCTGTACGAAAGAATCAAGGTAAAAATGTGACAAGGTAAAAAGTGAAGAAAGTTAAACCTAATTAATTTAAATCAAAAGACACACATGAGAGGGACGCGCGACGACTTATGAAAAAACAACAATTCAACAGAGAAGAACCATCGACGACGATGGCGGGGCGCGTAGACCTGGGCTGCCCCCGCCCTTTATTCTCGGCCCATTGTAGATAATTAATAATTCGTAATAATTACATGAGGAAAAATGACGCGATCATTCAACGATATCCGTGAACAAAAAGTACACCGAGTTTAGGGGGATGATTAACTCAATAAGATAATTACTTCGCACTCCAGACAACAACGTGTAAGATAAATGATGAAAAAACAATGAGTCTGTGTATGCATCTACTTCTGTTCATGTTAGGATGTATGCAGATCAAATGTCAGATCAATAAAAAAAAGTGGAAATTACATTTTTTCATTCTTTATTTGGTTCGCAACTGTTTTTCTCCATTTAGTGTGGCATTTTCTCGGTACAGTGATCTGTGACACACGACGAAGTCCGTTCAGTCTTTGACTCATGTTGTGTTTTGCATTAAGACCTTGTCTTCAGAAATTGCCATTCTCCCTTGCAAAGACATGATATACCTTGAATTCTACTCAATTCGAAATCGAACAACTTGCAAACGTTCAATGTTGTGTGCAATCCGCCAGATGTAATTTGAACAGGTGAAATTAAGGATATCCAAGTACTTTGGCTATTTTTGCTCCAGTGAAATACTTTTCTACTTTGGTAGTCCAACACCAGAGCTTTCATTTGAGCCCCATTTCACCCTAAGTTTCCGGACATTTTACTATGAATTTATTACTTAAACTTTGCAGGTCTGAATTTAATTCTCAATATTGAACCGCTAGAAAACATTCGTAAAATTGAAAAAAAATAGAAAGTTTACTTGCGGAGGGTGATTGACGAAATGATTTTAAAAATGCAGTTTTTGAAAATTACGAGCATCTATAAATAATTTATAAACAATCAATTTTACATAACAAAATCGTTTGTTCAGAATTGTAACAAATTTATTCATATTTAGAATTTTACGAGAAATCAATCTCATGCCTAAAAAAAATTAGGTTTCTGACAGTTTAAACAATTTAAATTATTTATTTATAGATAATGAATGTGTAAAAAAATAATTCTACGCAAAATGGAATTTGAATGACGCTGAATATTCATGATTTTTTTCGAATTTTTCTCACACAATTTAATTCAGAAATTTGATGATTGCACAGAGTTGAATTTATAGTGCGATCTGTACTACATTGTAAAAGATACTTGGATATCCCTAAAGAAAAACAACGTCCAATCCAGACTCGACTTTCATGGATTTTGTTCTTTTTTGAATTGTACAATGTGGGATTTACTATTAGACAATTTGTAATCGAGATGGTAGATTTCAGTTTCGTAAAATTCAACATGTTTATCATGATTAGAATATGGGGAATACAATTTCTGTAGAAGAAAATCTTAATGCAAAACATCAGATATGTTAGAACTATGAAAAGATTCGTTGCACGCATAGATCATTTTGTCGAGAAAATGAATCGGTATTAAAATATATCTTCAGTTTTAGAGTAGCTGATTACTTGTTTGAGTGAGGATTGAATAATATTTGTCTAGTCGTTTTGTCACGGCGAATAAATAAAATGCGCGGTATCTCAGGGGCCAGGGATCGAGGCCGATCACGTGGCAGTTTACTACCTACCTACGTCATCTGGATTTTTAACGATTCTTCAATGAAATTCCCCCGCACGAGTCGCAGTGTTGATCATTGGAGCAGATACACAGATGAGAATTCAGGTAGCTCTTCATCTCTTGTCTGCTAATCTTATCTAATATGGGAGAGTGGGGTAAAATGAAACGGTTGAAAAACGACTGTTTGACGCAATTCAAGCGAAAAAAATTGTTTTATTAACTCTTTTTTCTATTATTTGGAGTACTGATGAGAATAATAATTTTCAATTCAGTAAATGCAAAATTATTGAAAAGTTCTGACAGGAGAAGAATTTGTCAATGGATTAACTGAATAGAAAATGAAACAGCAAAATCCAAACTCCAGAGGAAGGCCCAGAGAGGGAAAAAGGAAAATGTGATGCTGAATTTCAATGAATGAAAAAAGAACAGCGTAATTTTCCTAATCTAATTAATTGAATTAGTTGAGTTGAGATCGAGATCTAACAGAGGAGTGGGATTCATTTGTGAAGGCAGTAGCTGCGCTATATAGGGATTTCGAATATCAGTTCTTTTCCACCGAATAGAAAATTATTATTCTCATCAGTACTTGCAATAATAAAAGAAGCTAATAACCAAAAGTTGATAAAAAAAGAGTTAATAAGAAAACATTTCTTTGCTTGAACTGCGTCAAATAGTCGTTTTTCGGCTGTTTCATTTTGCCCCACTCTCCGCTCGTTAATTTTGATAGTGGGGTTGAAAAAAAAAATAATGCAAAAAAAGTTTGATAACTGGAGATGTATGGAAAAAATTGATTGAAATACTTGTTGAACATGCACGTCTGATATCTGGAGTTAAAATTCCTGAAACAAAATAAGATAAAGAACAGATAATTCAGGGAAATCATGCACTTCATCCTCTATTTCGTCTGTTCATTCGCCAGTTTTTATATATATATTTTTTGTTTTTCACAGTTACTTTCGTTTCTTTTTATTTTAAATTCAATTTAGTTGTTTTCTGGCAGATACAAGTACAAGGTACGTATATACTCATTGATTCCTCATTTCGATTCAGATTCAAACACGTGTCAGAATCGAAGAGACGACCGCATAAATTAGACGACGAACATTGAACACTTACACGTAATTGGCATCGAATATCTTCTTTCTGATTTCTTTTTTCATAATCAATACAAAAATTTCAAGTGCAATAGAAATGGAATGAGAGAGAGAAACAAATGTGGGATGATGTGAAGTGAGGGTGCATGTTGATTATTTACAGTGTGTTGTTTAGGGTAAATTTTTCTTAGGGAGGGGGTCATACTGTTGTCCTGTTGGAGTCACCAGCCAGCATATCCAGGATCCTGCTGATTCCTGGCATGTTTAGGAAGGTTCCGAGGATTGGAACTCTGCGGAGGAAGTTTATAGCTACTGGTAGAAAACCACTGAAACAAAAATTACACAATTAATTAATTAATTAATCGATGTGTCAATTCACAGATAATAAAATTTGGTAGAAAAACCTATAGCATCTATTCGCAAATATCTACTGAAATTCTATTCAAAATTGTGTTATTTTTTTGTCAATTTTATTGAAAAATTCCACAACTTTTCCATGCATTTTTCTATCTAGTCATTTTTAGTAGGAAATATTTCATCGGGGAAATTAATCGATTTTGATCTTTCTATACAAATTGTTCGAGTGAAATATCTTCTATAGATTTCTATAAGTTTAAGCAAAAAAAATTAAACGAAAGAATTCCTAAAGAAACAATCTCAACAGAATAAGTTGTAAATAAGGATCGAATTCTATTAATTTTTTTCTATACAACATTTTCTGTCAACAATTTGTGTGATAAAACAGTGCAAAAAACTGAAAGAATTTTTAACAAGAACGTGTAGGGCTAATTGGACCCTTGACTTTTTCGAAATGTTAATAACTCGTGGATTTGTTAATGAAATAGGATAATTTTTTATCGTGGAAAGTATAACTCTTCTGTTTTAAGATGAGCCTAGACTGAGCTCAATTGATGAAATTGTTTCAGTTATAAACATTGAGAGAAAAAGTCAAAAGTGTATTTGCCCCACCCTCCTCTAGAAAATCAATAAAATCACGCTAGGTTTTTCTATGAATTTTTTTCACACGTGTTCTTCAATTTTAGATTCATTTTCATTAATAAAGTAGTCATCTCAGAAACAATTGATTTTAGTCCAAAATATTGAGGAAGTTGTCTTAGCTGGAAAGATTTTCTATAAAAAAAAAAATGTTGGCACCTCGCTTGAAAATCATTCGTTATCAAAAAAATTTCGTGATCACCAAAACGAGTTCAATCAACTCATTACATTAGTCCACGAAAAACGACTGTTTGACGTAATTCAAGCAAAACAAAAATTTTTATCAACGTTTGTTTATTAACTTTTTTATTCTTGAGAGTACTGATGAGAATAATAATTTTCCATTCAGTCGAATGGAAAATTATTGAGAAGTTTTGACGGGCCAAGATTTTGTTGATGAATTAATTAAAAAGAAAATGAAACAGCAACATCCAAACTCCAGAGCAAGGCCTACGGGGAGACCCAGAGGAGGAAAAGGAAAGTGTGATGGAAAGTGTAAGCGGCCTAATCTAATCAATTGAATTATGAGACGAATAGAAAATTATTACTCTACCTGTACTCCCAATTATTACTCTGTCAGTACTCCCAATAATAAAAAAAGTTAATAAACAAAAGTTGATAAAAAAAATGTTTTGCTTGAATTGTGTCAAATAGTCGTTTTTCGGCTGTTTCATTTTGTCCCACTCTCCCCTATTATAATTTATGCCACTCATGCCTGAAACCGGCTGAATTAGACACGAGACGCGAAGCGTCGAGTGACATAAAATTTTGTTCAGCACTTGTTGGGAAATTTCGTCCTTAACGTGTGTGGTTACATCACTCGCCTTCGGCTCATGCTGTAAACCCCACACACGTTAAAAACGAAATTGCCCCACACGTGCTGAAATATACTATTATGTCGCGCCGTGCAATAAGTCGAGTCTATCGCACGCTGCGCTTCGCGCAGCCTGCTCAAAACTCGACTTCTGCACGACTTGACATAAATTATTATAGAGCACTCGGTAATAAATTTCGTTTTCAACGAATGTGTGTACAGACCTCGCCTTCGGCTCGGTCTGTAAACTACACATTCGTTGAAAACGAAATTTGTGCCCTTGTACTCTAATGTACTATTAATATTAACGTACCTGAAGAGAAGTACAAATCCATAAATTTCGAAAATCATTCCAACAATGGGCCATCCAATGAGAACAATAACAACTCCACCCAAAAAAGCAATACTGGCCTTCATTTTGTGCCTTTGAAAAAAGAAGCTGAACGTTCTCTTTGGCCCTATTACACATCCTAGTCCAGAGATGAATAAAAGCTGAAATAATCATCATTTCTATTAATGAATCAACAGATAGAGAACAGTGAATCAGTAAAATTGTTACTTACATTTCCTATAGCAAGAAGTCCCTTATCGAACAGCAATAAAACCCCCAGGAAGAGGAAGAACATTCCAAAGCCCGCGAGGCCTACTCCGATTTCTGCAACAATGGGGAATTGTTGAAATTCTTGGGATACAACAAATATTACTCAGCCCCAACAGACATTTCCCACATCAAAGAGCATCAATCACCTTTGGGAATGAATGAAAAAAATTCAATTAATGGGAAATTACTCACTCTGTGTGTCGGTGATTTCAAACATATTTACAATTCACTAGATTCGTAGATTCCTCACTTTTACGAAATAGATTAAATGTTTATAAATATTGGGCAGCGATTGTGCCACCATGGGGTAACCTAACCTAGCTCCACGTCATTCGCAGTGATCGTGGCACGATCTGCGTACCGCAGCCGTATGACAACTATTCGAAAGACCGCCGGTTTCTCCATGACGTCATAGAATGCATTTGCTTGTGAAAAGAGTGATTCGAGATCATTCAATGATTACAACTGATTCTCCTTACTGAGTACACAATTTTGTCATGTGCGATCAATCGACATGTGGATATCTGATCACTGATTCATGTGAATTCATATTTTCATTTCATGATTGATTTTTTCTTCATCAAGTTCATTTGCTATTATGCAGAATAGAAATCGACATTTATTCAGGAAATGGGTAAGTTATGGATTTTATTCTCGGGGTTTTTGATTGAGTAGGAAACTGATGGTTTCACGCTCCCTTTTGCTGGCTAAGAAGAAAACTCGAGGGGTGAACGGCCATTGCAGTCAATTACCTTCAGTTAAAAAATAATTTAATAAGGAAATTCAATAAAATTAAATTGAGTATTTGATTGTTTACGAAATGAGACATAATGTCATTGAGGCACGTATCTATCATCCGTATGAACATTTCAGTAGCGAAGTGGTCAAACGGTTGAAGTCAATTTAGTCTTTAGTTGAATTTTCCAGAAAAATTTCCGAATTTAAGGGAGATAGCGAAATTTTCATAATGATCTTGTTTGTAGAGCGAATTGAGTGCTACTAAAAAGGTAATGAGAAAAATTTTGCTATCTCCCTTAGATTTCGAGATATGAATATTAACGCCGATTCATTTTTTATCATCCAGTCGGAAATAATCGGACTGGTTTACCAGGGTTTAAATGGTTAGATGGCACCATTCTACCCGGCCGGGATTTGAACTCGAAACCGTTCGCATGTGCGGCAACGAACTTACCCACTGCGCCAACCACCGGGTGAATCTAAGGGTGATGAAATTTTCATAAAAACCGTTTTTGTAGAGCAAATAGGGAACTTGCATGATTTTTTTTTCAATTTTCTAATCTCAAGTTTAGAACCTGAATAATTTATTTTTCATTCACAAACGTTCAAAATATTGCTTATTAATTAATGATTATTTATTAAAAGTGGAAGATTTCAAATACTTTGAAAGCGCTAATGACGTCACACAGGCGGTCGAGCGCTAGGCCAATTACAGAATGGCTCTAGCCGACCTAACCCAATCTTGAGGTGCGCCTCGGCCAATGGAGGACGACAACTCCCTACTCTCTTCTTTTTCGACCAATGAAGCGTTACCTGACCGTCTTCGTGACGTCATGACCGAAAAATTGGTCGCGGAAACGACTGATTTTCAATTAATTATCATGAGCCAGCTTGAGCGTGTAAATTACGTTAGTAAATTACACCGTTTTTACTTACGTAATTTACGTAAATTGCCTCGACGGGTTTTGTACATTTTTCATATTACTTCGAAAAGCTTACAATTTTTGGTTACTAGAATGTTTTATTATATTCCGACTGACGAAGACGCAGTAAAAAATAGTAGGTAAATATGTACATTAGTTTCTATTGAATTTTTTCATACGTGAACAGCTCATAATATGACTTTAATTTCCATATAAATTTCAACCAGCGACATAGTAACACCCCTCGGCCAGTCTGTCATCGCATAATAATAAATTTTTTTTTAATTTTCCTATAACGAAACAGTGATCCGAAAAATTGAGGAACATACTTATTGCGAGTACTGACAGATAGAATTCTATACAATATAAAAATAATTTTATTATAACGTTATAGATACATTCCTCCTTATCATACAAACATCCTCAATAAATGCATTAATTTAAATAATATAATGGACTATGATATTTTACAAACTTCTTCGACGTGAAGAGAGACGGGTTATTGCAATATGGCTTAGCAATTTTGCTTTCTTCGATGACAAGTTATTTACAAAGCAGTTGGGGAATTGTTGTGAGAATCAGCACATCAGGGCTGACCGAAGCCACTCCGACAGAGTTAATTTGATGCTACCGTTTTGAAGTGGATCTTTGCCTTCGAAGATTGCTGAAAAAACCAAGGATAACCATCAATACTTCATTCTCATTCAATATTCAACTTTATTTCAAACAGACAAAATAGTGAGAAGAGATAATTTCAGAAAGTGAGTTCTTATTAATCTGCAAGTAATCTCCAGAATATGTGGGAATGCAGGTTCATCCAAAATACCTTTTTGTAAAGAATTTCAAGAGGGACAATAAATATTTTTTGATCAATTCCCCTCACTAGTGAAATTTGAAATTTTTCGGCTAAAATTTCCAGAATTACACGTCTTGGAAATTTTTGTCAATTAACAATTTCGCTGAAATGTTAAAAAAAATTTTTTTTCAAAGAATTTTTTCAATCAAAATTTACAAATCTATTGAAAAATCAATAACGAAAATGCAGCGTAACACTAAATATTCATGTTCTGACTGAAAATTCAATTACGTTCGAAAATTCTCATCTCCTTGCTGCTCAACAATTTGAAATTCCATTGAATTTTTAGTGAAATTTGAAATTCCATAATTTTTTCTGCCTTAAAACGAATTGGATGTTACTCTCCTGGAAATTACTACTAAACTTTCAATGAAATTTCATTTTTTTACCAACAGTGCACTGAGAAACCAACAGACTCTTAAGAGAGACAAACATTTTGCAACAAACGTTTTCTTTGAGAATGGGGCAAACTCAGAAGACTTACAAGAAATCTGAAAAATCTCCAGATAAGAATAAATAATTTTCAAAACAACTCAGTCATGATATTCAATTCTTAATATTGGCAAATTCCAACGAATTATTTTTCCAATTATTCCTTCATTTGCTTCAACCTACTAAATCTTACCCCGAACCGTCAATAAACAGTTGGAGGTAATAATTTTTTCTCTTCTAGAAATTTGTTTTTCCTCTCAGTGCAACCCCCTCGATTTTCAAAATATTCGACGAAATTACCTTTTTTCATAATTACGCTACAACTTTGATTCAAAGTATTAATAGAAATGAGAGGAATCTCTTACCGAATGCATCACTAAGATGCAAAATCGCCGAAACGAAATCTCCAAACCTCAAAGTCCCATCCTTCCTCATATACCGGAGAATCAAAACAGCCAGGACATCAGTATTGACTTGAAATCCTAAAAGAATCCCCACATTTTCCCGTTTAAATAAAGGATGCATAACACGTTGAACAATGAATTCTGATGAGTGATGAATTCGGATGAATTCTGCATACATTTGGATTAACTCACCGATTTCGAGAAGCGCGTCACGTAGTCTCTCAGCCTTGAGAATACCAGTTCTTTCCTTAGTGTGATTCTTGAACGCCGCCTGCCAGTACTTCAGGCTACACATGAGATCCTTGAAGTCATTGAACTCAAGCCGACCACTGCCAGTGCTCTGTTAAATTAGTCAAGAAAAACATATCCACAAAAAGACATATCAACAAAATCCAAATGATTATTCAAATAAATTCAAGGATACATCCATTGTGAGGACCACTTGGCGACAGACTTCCATGGATGCACAGCTCTTTATGTAATCTGCAGAGTTAAATGACAATTTAAATTCACAGCAGAGACAGTTGTCATCGATGAATGAATAAATTACCATCATTGAGCACCGGCTATTTTCGTTATTTTTCTCATCTTTTTATAAATTTTTTCAGTTTTAACAAGCGAATGTATTTTCTCATTTGTATTTAGATTTGTGGAATAAAAGTCACCCTGACGAGGAATGCAGTTAGCATTCGAAATTTTGGCATTGTAAATGATAAAAAGTTTTTCTTTCTACTTTTTTTTATTAAACGTTGTTGTGACCGTATAATTATTCAGAAAGGAAGGAGTTTAATACCAGTAGCGAAGCGGTAAAATGGTTCAAGTCGACTCGGCTCTTAGCCGAGTTTTTGAAGAATATCTCCGAATCTAAGGGAGACAGCAAAATTATTGTCACTAGCTGTGTGGCCCGGGTTGGCCCGGGCAGAATAAGAGAACATTGAATCCCAAGATTTTGAAGAATTCATGCAATTAAAAAAAACAACTCAATGTCTTTGACTTTTAGAGAACACTAGGCAACCATGCGCGCTGTCGCGCGCGACCGCCTTCAAGTGAGCGCTGTAATGCACAATAACATCCTCGTAGTCATGGAAATCATTGATTGATCCATCAACCAATTGTAAGGCGAATAAAAAGTCAACAATCAAAACAATCATTCATTGTCAATCAACATTTTGAAAAAGGAACCTGAAAATTTTCTCAATTTCGTTAGAAAACCCGAGGATTTCTTCCAACTTTATATAAAATCCTAGAATTCCCTTAAATTTTCTAGAAAACCCAAAAATTTCCTCTAATTTTCTCGAAAATCTGAGAATTCGCTCAAATTTTCTATGAAAATCTCAATTCTCTAGAAAATTCAAGAGTTTTTTCGAATTTTCGGTGAAATCAAAGAATTCTCTTGAGTTTTGTGTATAACTGAAAATTTTCTAGAAATTTGTACGTCTAAACTATGTACCGTAGCGCAATAACTTATAGCAGTTATAGCCTAAAGCCGATTGGAGCCCCCAAATTATGTAATAGTAAATTACCATTGAACTCCATTCTGTCGTTTTTTGGGTGAATCGCAGCCGAAGAATGGGTAATTTATTATATTTAAGAAGAAGAAGATGACCTCTTTCGTAGCTCACAATTCGCTCTACAAAAAAGTTTATGACAAGAATGTTGCTATCAGCTTTAGATTCCGAGATATTCAGTGAAAACTGATCAATAGTCAACATTAACTTGAACCGTTTTACCGCTTCGCTACTGATGTATGATAGAAACATTTGGAATGAATTTTTGAATTTACCATTGGGGAGACAGGCTTCGAGAAGTTCCTGAAGTTCGAAAGCATTGACTGTCTTATGTTCATCAGCCAATTGCAGAAAAACTGCCTCGTACTGTGAAAATCCTTTCCCTTCAAGCGCTGGAGCCTTTACGATCGCTGATTTTATTAGCGTGGGAGGTGTATCGAGCAATCTGAACATTTATCACCGTAATAAAATTTACGTCAGATCAGGAAATGAAAGTGTGAAAAATTGATCAAAAGTATTTACTTCAATTTCAACGGTTTACTGCTGTATACTCTCAACGTGAAGTTGGTTTCTTGGCCAGGTTCAAAGGTTGTTGGTATGAGTAAGTATCCACCTTGTTCCAGCAAACATCTGTGACTCACTTGTCGACTATTTGTATATTGTGAATTGACGAGTGATTTGTTCTTCTTGAAGAATTGCTTATTAATCGACTCGGTGCTGTTCTTTGGCAATGTATACGCCGTGAAACCGATGACCTAGAAATGAGAGAATCATTGAGTCACTCATCTGTCACTTCCTCTCTCCTCAGGTATCGAGTGTTTGATTTACCTTTGGTTCCATGATCGAGTGTTGATTCAATGAGACAACTACCTCCTCCATTTCACTGAGTATCAGATGAAGCTGTGGATTTATGTGAAATGTTTCTGCAAGTGATTAAGGATCCAAATTAGTATGATTCATAAATGTGAATAAATTTGAAGAGGGAGGTATAAGGGTACCTTGGTTATTCCTGCATCCACCAGCTGTTACTCCTCTCCTCCAACTACCTTGATAAAGTTTCATTTGCCAAGTGTGTTTGCTATGTAAAGAGGGCTCGTCTCGCGACGTTTCTGCGTCTAAATGTACAACTTCTAGGTGGGTGAATGTTTTAACGAAATCTGAGTATGATATCCTGTGGGGAAACCAGATAAATTAATTAAGAGATTGAAAAATTTAGTAAATTTCAGAATAACACGTAGGAACAAATCCTATAGAGAATTCGAACATGTATAGGATTTTTCTGGTGGGATTTCCTGTAGGATTTCTCATAGGATTTCCAATAGGATTTTCTATAGGATTTCCTACAGAATACACTATAGGGTTTTCTATAGAAAGTAACACAAAATTGAGACTCGAAACCAATCGGTCACAAGGGTCAGGATTAGGGTCATAAATCTGATAGGAAATTCGATAGGAAATCCTATCAGAAAAATCCTATAGGAAATGTTCGAATTCTCTATAGCATTTCTTCATACGTGAAGTCCTGCATCTTTCAAAATTATCTTCAAAACAATTTGGGGGAAAATTGAAATTTCTAAAATTCTTGGCAAAAAAGTCTCCTAATAAGTTCGTGTAAAACTATCTTATTCTGAGATAATGCCGAAATTATTGCATTTCGAATTTGTCAATCATAGAAAAATAATTTTAAAAAACCTACTGCATTCACCAGAAACTTCTGATGGATTTCTATTGAACTTTTAGTGAAGATTCTATCTATTCTTCGTTGATTCTAGTCTTCAATAAAAAAAATTTTCTAGAAAAATTCAATGGAATTTGATTTTGCCATACAACCCATTCGATTTTAATATTTTCCTCAGCCTACATTTTCCAAGGTTTTTTTACCTAATTTTTTTATGAGGAAAATTAATGGCGAAGCATTCCTATAGAGAATATTTCAGTAGAATATGTTGTATAGATCAGATTCTAATTAATATTTTCGATTGAATGAACCGCGCAGATGAGCTGCGGAATTTCCCAATAAAATCGGCGAAAAATTAATAGAATTTCCAATACAAATCCAATAGAGTGTTAAATTTTTTCGTGCGTGAATCGTCCAGTCCTTGAAAAAAATAATTCGCTAATAACTTGAATTTCGGGAATTTTCATAAAATCTCATTAGACTGATGGAAATTATATTATTTTTCCACTAGGAAACGACTAAAATTTTGCTTAATGGAACAATTCTAGAATAAAAATAGCAAAATTAGCTTAATCGCATGGCGTAACGTCGAGCGTTATTATTTTCATTTCCGACGAAAAAGAATTCCTCAACACTTTTTCCTCAAAAAACGCCTGTTACGAAGATCATTCAATATTTAGAAAAATGTGAGAAATCCACTGATTACATTTTGGATCACTTTACTAATAATTTTTTTATTACTATGGAATTTACACATTAATTTTAAACTGAAATACAATAACGGATAAATACCAAAATTCGCCCTCAGCCATATTTCTAACAGCCAATCGATCCCGCTCGGTGATTGGTACGTCGTCCCACTCCAATCCACCTCTAGCCCAAGCTCCAATGTACTCTCCACCAGGTCCCAGTGGATTTCTCAGCTTAACAAGCTGCACAGCCTCCCCATTGAATGTCTCCACCTAGATACCCCCCAACGATTCAAATTAATTGCTTTCAATACAATCATTCTTTCACAATCGACGAAAAATTACCCTTTCAATAGCATAAAGCCGGTAATTGATGCCCATTTGAATGCCATTAGCCAGTTTCTCGGTGCTCGTGCGTATCTGCTGTTGCTGATTGTTGTTGACAGTGCAGGTAATTAGTGAGGTCATGTCTAGCAGTTTCGCAAGTGCTCGACCGCAGGCCGTTGGATCCTGACGTATCGCTATGCTCTCCGTAATCCCACCCGTCAGATCTGACAGACCGTCCAGCAGGGTTCCGTATTTTAGGGCCTCGTACGATCCATGGAGTCTGTAAAACGAAATTCAATGTAAAAAATTAAGGATGTTTATCAATTTTCCGAAAATTGATTTTTTTCATGTTTGAGAAAAATCTTGTAATTTTTTGTGTCGATGAACCCTCTGTCTTTTATAGAGGGAAGTTTATCAAGAAATATTTTGCCGCTAAGTTACAAGATTGCTGTCATACTAACATTGCTGATCATTATTACTTCATTTAAGAATTTATTTTTTGTCTGTGATTATTGAACAGCCGAAACGACAAACTACTACCTCTGGTTTCATATAAAACGAACATTTGCCGAGAGAAAAATACGTATGGGAGCATCGAGTAATGAAGAAGTAGTACTAGAAATTACCTTCTTCGTTGCACAGAGAATAAATTTTTTTGAAAAGACTGAATCTATTTTTGCAATAAAAAATTTCAATCTTGGCGCACGCTTCGCACGTTTGCACAAACAATCCTTTTTTGATAGTTTATAACAAACAATTTTTTTGGCACAAGTAAAACTTGTTTGAGAAATTTTCCGATCGTTGAGAAGAATTGGGTGCAGCAGCCTTGACAACATGAAATAAACAAGTTTTCCATATACACGGGCCCTTATAGGTTTTATTTTCGAATGAATGATTTACCTATTACAAGACTCCAAGATAAAAATAACAATACAAGGTAACGTGAAAAAAACAAAATCCAATAACCGAGAAAGGATCTGCGCCATCCAGGCAAATGATGAAGATCTTTAAAACTTTAACGGGAGACCGTGGTGAAATTTGGAAGTTACCGGACATTGAAGAGACGATTGTTAAAGTTCATAGGTGAAAAAAAGTGTGAAAGAACTAAACTCCGAGATATTTGGAGCTTGCAAAGGGTTAAAGTGAGTAAAAAGGGATCAGAGGCTACAAAAACGTCCAAGTGCCCCAGTTTTCAACCGACTGAGCTTAAAATTGACTTTCACAATGTTAAAATTCGCAAGAAAAACAAATAATATTTTGAGAAATACTGGTCTTTTGTGAGAAGTTGTAGATAAATTTGAAAAATTTTGTACTCGCTCGAGAGAATATATACTGTAATTGTTTTTTGTTGTTTGGCGCATTTTTTTGCTCTTTCGTATACCCTCTCGGGTTTTTACGATTTTCCCCTTCTGCCACCCCCGGCCCCCTGCACTGCATTCGCCGAAGGATGAGGGAAAGCCTCACTTGAGGGAAAAATCTGCGTAGGTACAGTTGTCTCTTTCACGAGACTCCCGCTCGACAATGAAATTGAGATTGAGAGTGCCAGAAAATTTAGCGGCGTAGCCAGGAAGCGAACCCGGGTCCCCCTCATTCCAATGCCACACTCTCACCACAAGCCACGGCAGTCGGTTGGCGCATATTTTTTACGCATATTTCAACTATGTGTAATTTAATTTTTAGCTTAATCGATTTAAAATCGAATTAATGGGTCGATATAACACAAAAAATCCAAAACTTAAATTTAAACTCTTACAATGCTTCCATTCGGAAGCAAAACATCTCAGAGTGTGGTTTTCTCACACTTTTTTCCATCTATAAATCATATTATAAACTACAACAATCGTCTCTGACGAAACGCCCGAAGATTTCCGCATTTCACCGCATTTTACCCTAAAACCCCATATAACCTCATGTTCACTCTTACATTCGTTGCATATTGTCTATTTTATTTCTCAATAATCAATTTAAAGTGATGGCTTCAAATTTCTATCAACGTGAAGAAGCTGCGGCTATTATTTGAGGAAAAATGAGGAATTTTTTCAGCGGTTGTGATTCCGAATAAACTTCGGAGAAACTTAGTTTACTCATCCCAGCAGAGAAGAGTTATTTATCAACTACAGAAACGTCAACTCAAAAAAGGCAATTATTTTTTCTTTAATTTACGATTAAAAAGTATCACGTGGGTTGATCATAGAAGACAATTACTATAAATCATGCCACACAATTTCTTTCTGCAATTATGGAATATTATGCTGAGTAATTATCTATCATACAAATAGTAATCATACTATTTGTATGGAAATCGATTAGTTTCGGAGATTTTGGTCTAAATGAATGATTACGTCGATATCACTTGTTCAACACAATTTCCAATTCATCGAAATGACCTATCCATGGAATATAATTTTCCACTGTGATGCATTGTAAAGTTGATAGGATAATTGCACTACGCGGGAGAAAGGAGCAGAAAATCAGATATTTGTGGGATTAAATTATATTTGATTGGAAGTTGCTGCCTCATAAGTGACGAGTGGCGGGTGTCACGAAGATAGTTTTTTTGCGATTATATTTTACCCGATGGTTTTCAAATGATTTCATCAGACTTAATCATTATCAACATGCAATTTTCTTGATCCACATGTGATATATCGGTAACGGTCATGAGACCGACGAAAACATGATGCATTCTTGTCACATGATAGAATAGTGACCATTGACTATCTGACCGTTACATTACATCTAACTACAATGTTAGAAATTTTTTGAAATTTCATGGAAGATATTATGGTAATTCTCATGAGAGTGACATTGAATCGAATTTAGGGGAAAAGGGTTAATGAAATTTCAAGTTTTAGGTAGAATTCAAGGAAATTCATGAGTTTTCAGCGGGAGCGAGATAGAAATTTCACAACTTGATTGAATTGTCAGTGAAACATAAATATTTAGAAACAATATGACATAAATTTTCAATTTTTCACAGAATTTCCCTGATTTATCAGAATTTTCACGGAGTGATTGAACTGAAAAATCAAGTATTTTATTGATTTTCAGATCATTCGAACGGAAAATCAATGGAATATTTGATTTTTCAGTGACAAAATTTCCAGAAATTTCAGTGGAAATGAAACAGGATAAAAATTTCCGGTATATAACACGGAAAATTCAGACAGAAATTTTTAACAGTGTATCATTGAATTAATTTGAAGCATGATATTCAAAGATATCCCCGGAATTCTGGTTTTCAAAAAATACAAAATTTTCGCGATCATAATCCACGGAGAAAAAAATTGCAGAAAAATTAGTGTGCCAGCACGGTAAAATGGGTTTATTTGGATGGATCCGGAAAAATTACTGTGGCAGCAGCGGAAAATTTTCTGTACAAGAATTTTTCACTGTAAATCCGAGGAAAAATTCTGTAGTGGACGGCCGAAATTCCGGGACTGGCACGGGAATTTTTCCGGGTCCGTCCAAATGAATTTATTTTACCATGCTACCACAGTAATTGTTCTGGATTTTTTTTCTCCGTGTGGGTCGATCTAACTCAAAAAATGCAAAACTTAAATTTGGAAGCAAAAAATCGACGTCACATAACGTTCATACGCATCCTTGCACCCGAGTCATAAAACATCAGTCCCCCAGTGTACGAAAACTACGAGGAAGAGTTTACAAGGGAAATTAATTCAACACCTAAAGCTGATTCCACCCATGCTTTCATTTATTATCACTATATCATGTGCACCGTAACAATTCACACGAAAGTGCCAGCAAAATTCTGTATGTAATTCCGTGAGTAAATTCTCAGGGAAGACGACACACTGAAATTAATCAAATTTAGTTTACTGTTACCTCGAGGTAAGCTCGTAAAAATATAGTACTCTTTTCCATTCAGCGTTCATCATTTTTATTTATTTCTCTTTTTTCGATAAATTGCAAAGTCGTCGCGGTGCACTGACCTCCGATCCATCGGAACCGAGCACTCTGTACACATGAAAATGGTCTCAGTGAAAGTACAACCTCGATGGTACTTGAAACGCAAATTTCATTGCTGCCTGTGTGTTTATGTGTGAACACAGCGCGTGCCAGATAATCCGACTATTGATATCTTTTTCTTCGGGGATTTTTATCACATTATTACACGGAGAAAATTATTTGGTGAATTTCACAAACTAGTTGTTGAAAATATGAATTAACTATTAACTGTTAATTTCATTAGCTTGTTGGTGAAATTCAACAACAAATTAATGAAAATTCAGAAAAAGATTTTTCAATTTCATTCGACAGCCATTTGTTAAATTTTCAATAAACTTTCGTCGATTTATTTGATGGATCAAATTTAATAAGAAATTGTAGATTATTGCAAAAATATCTTCTAGAGTAGATATTGATCGACTGTCAAGATATAAATGATTGCGGGATTGTTTCCAAATCTATATATGCCCTCATCTCGTGGGAAAAATTGATTGAATTTACACGGATGAAAAAATTTAATAGAAAACCCTAGCGAATTCGATAGAAAACTCTATTGGATTTCTATTGAACTTTATATTTGTTTTGACCGATTCGATTGAAATGTTCAACAGAAAATATTAAATAGAAAAGTCAATCGAATTCGATTTTTCTATATACCTTGTTTTATTGAGATATTGTCGATAGAATGTCTTCGGTTCAAATTTTCTGAGTTTTTTTGTTTGATTTTTTGGATGAGCAGAAAAGAAAAATAGAATGAAAAAAACTTGAAAAATTTGAGCGGAGGAAATTCTACAGAAAACCTGAAAGTCTGAACAGAATAAGTTATATAGAAAAATTGAATTCTATTAACTTTTTCTATTGAACATTTCAATAGAATTTTCTAACGAATTCACTAGATTTTTCTACTAAATTTTTTCGTGCGTGTATAGCTGAAAATATTCTTCCCGTGAACTCATTGGAATTTTTTTTCTGACCGAAATTTTACGTAATTTCATTATTAAAAGTTCTAAATTTTATGGGAAAATCAATGAAAAATGTAAATGTCAGTACAAACATGCCATTAAAATTAATAGAAATCAGGAACATTTTGATACATCTAAGTTCTCCATTAATCGAAAAGTCAGCGTTATTTGATTCTAAATATTCCCATTTATATTGAAACTTGGAATAAGTTGAGAAATCGTTTTTGAATTTTAATTACTTAGTTGGTAATTCATTTCTTCAACAACTAGTTGGTGAATTTCACCAACTAGTTGTTGAAATTAACCAAATAATATTCTCCGTGTATACCTACGAAAATTGAGCACTTTAACTTGACCAATATCCTGCCATTGTTTAAACGCGTAATGATCCTCATGAAGCGGACATTTCGTAAGACATCCATTGATTAGGTCTTTCAATAAGCCGTTTACACTGCGATCTTGATATTTTTTTCAATTCCACGCGAGTGAAAGCGAGACTTGTTGTGTGAATGGCAATTTTGTTTTAAACATTTTTCCTCCCCTCTATTTTGATTTTATGCACGAGGGAAACGAGGAGAGACGGAAGGGACAGGAGGATTAGCCAGCGTGAACGTGACGCTCGAGGAAATAAATTGAGGTGTTTTCTCTAATGGAAATCCGCTGGTCATATAAAACACACACTGGATTATATATATACACTACAAGTGAGGCTTTCTAGACGAGAATCTTCTTTAGGACTTGGCCGGGATTTTTATGCGCTCTGAGTGACTCGGAAAGAAGGATTGTGTGTCATTGATGGGACTTTCTTTCGATCCCAGGAATTCCCATTAAATTACGTGTACCAATGACAATTTGATTTTTTATCTTTCAATCCAAATGGACGAAACTCTCGAATACGAATCTCCGAACCTTTTCCAGTGCTGTCTGAGGAATTTCCAAGCGCCTTTGCCGGTACATTTCCTTCGTATTCCGTCATTTTATTCAACGACTCGGAATACGTCATGTTCCACATGACGAGAACACCACCGGTTATGAGGATAAACCGATCCATCGGAATTTTCAAGACAAGATAAACAGAAAGCAAAAAAAGCGATTGAAGAAGTTAAAGAGGATATAACGTCTCGTTGAGCTCGTTGCTGGGAGATCGTTGGACTCCCGGTGAACGTGGTAAAGACCGGTCGAGGCGGAAGGACAAGTAGAAATACCTTCGGGTAAGCACTAACAAATGTGAAATAAGAAGAGGACTGAGGTAATTCCAATATTTTTCATGTTCCTCTTCCCTGCAGGATAATTTATGGCTCTCGATTTTTGGGCAACAGACGGAGGCATAAAAATGAAAGCGAGTGTTACAGAGTCACTCTGAGTCCACCCTCTCACTATCTCTCTTTCTCTCTTTCTCTCTCTCTCTCTCTCGCCCTCCTCTCTCCATCAAAAGTCGTGATTGCGAGCGCCATTATGCCGTCGCCCCTATCCAGGGGGGCCCCGCGAGTGCAAAACTCGAGGGGGCCGGCGAGGGGGAGAGGTGAGATGAGAAGGGGGACGAAAGAAGTTCTACGGTACGACGTTACTCGTTTTCCAAGGCTGACTCTCTTGGCTTTTATCCTATCTATATCCTTGTTTCTTTGGTTCTTTACCTCTTTTTCCACCGCCAAGAGACTCCTCTCGGTTATACTCCGAGGTCGAGGCTCTCTAGCCAGTTATCGGGAGCAGAGAGGCACGGGTTTTACGGTCTTCTATGGTGGAGAAATCCAAGGGGGAATGTCTTTCTTGTGGATAAACTATTCTGCTATTTTTAGAGGGGGATTTTATTGACAACTGGTTCGTCAGAGGAAAATTCTGCAGACTCCTCGCTTGGCTCAACTCTTTGTATTGTTTTTGTTCAACGCACGGTGGATTTCTTTTGATTAAAATGTTTTCTCCCCTTTTTCTTTCATTGGGATTCGTACTGTTGAGAGGAAAAAATGCGCAGTGGGGATCACTTTAGAAATATCTTGGAAATGAAGGGGTTTGGGAGGATCAGCGGAGGACTTTCTTGGTAGTCCTTCCTAGAAATTTCCTGGAAAAAGGGAATCTGGATTCTCGTAACCTTTTTCGCTGCAGATATTTGCATTTTATTGACAACTACTTCGTCGGGGGAAAATTCCAATGCTGTCTTTTTCTTCTGGCATTGTTCTTTCGAAGCCCTGGTGGATTTCTTCCAATTGAAATTTGTTTTTTTCTTATTCTCCAATTTATATTCAATCTCCGGAGAGCGGAGAATTTTTAGAGAAGTGAAAAACGAGACTAGTAAAAAAGGAGTTGTGGATTCTTTTGTGAATATCTTGAAAGCGCAGAGGTCCAGTGGAAGGAAATGGAATTAGGGGACAGTGGGGTAAAGTGGAAATTTGCGACCAATTTTTATTCTTGATATCTGGCGTTTAAGGGGATATCAAAGGTTCCACTTTGCCCTAGTTTTCCTTAAGGATATCCAAGTACTTTGGCTATTTTTTCATTAGGGAAACGATTTTTTGTTTTTGTAGTGGAACATCGGAGCTTTCATTTGAGCCCCTTTTCACCCTAAGTTTCAGCACATGTTTCAATGATTTTATTCTTTAAATTTTGCAGATTTAAATTTGAATATTAGTATTGAACTGTTCAAAAATATTTTAGAAAGTTGAAGAAAATTAGAAAGTTTACTTATGGAGGAATTGATGGAATAATTTAAAAACTGTCCTTTTCAGAATTACGAGCATTTTTTATGAATAATTTATAACCGATAAATTTTCCACCAAAAATCGATTTCAAGCCTAAAAAATGAAGTTTTCGAAAGTTTCAACAATTGCAATTATTTATTTATTTATAAACAATAAGTATTTAAAAAATAATAATTCTGTGAAAAATGTAATCTGAATGACACTGAATATTCAGGATTTTTTTTCAAATTTTTTTCACCCAATTTAATTGACAAATTTGATGATTGAAAATGGTTGAATGTATAGTGTGGTCTGTACCAAATTGTAAAAATCCTTGGATACCTTTGAAGATATCCAAGTACTTTGATAATTTTTTTTCTAATGAAATGCATTTCTATTTTTGTAGTCAGACATTAGAACTTTCATTTGAGCCCCTTTTTACCCTAAATTTCAGCACATTTTTTTAATGATTTTATTATTTAAATTTTACTGTTCAGAATTTGAATGTCGATGTTGAAAACATTTAAAATTGCTGAAAAAAAATTAGACAGTTTACTGTTGGGGGAAAATTGATGAAATAATTTAAAAACTGTAATTTTTAAAAATTACGAACCTTTTCTATCAATAATTTATAAACAATTAATTTTCCAGCATAAAAATCATTTGTTCACAATCGTAACAAATTTATTAATATTCAGAATTTTACCAGGAATCGATTTCATACCTAAAAAAATAAAGTTTCTGAAACTTTAAGCAATTTCAATTATTTATTTATAAACAACAAACGTTTAAAAAAATTATAATTCTGTGCAAAATGTTCGAATGTATAGTGTGGTAGGTACCGAACTGTAAAAGACATTTGGATATCCTAATTTAAAATGCCAGTTTCTTAGTTCTTGAAATTGTTTACAGTAAAAACTAAAATTCGACGATTTCGATGATGCATCACGCTGTCTACCAGCGCAACAAAAAATAACAAATTTTCACAAACTATTATCAATTAATTAATTACAACAAATTCACACAATATTTTTAAACCTATTAAATAAAAACCTATGAGCTTGAGGTTTTTCTCGCATTTTGTGGGAAAACCGGATGTTTCCATAAACCCCCATGTTCAGCTCCAAAAATTCCTGTAGGATTACCTCGCGAGGAGTTTTCGTCAATCATTTGGAATTTCATCCATCCATCCAAGATGTAACACCTTTATTCCTGAATTTTTCTTCGAATTCCCTCGCATTTAATCCCGTCTCCCATAAAATCCCCATATGGACGAAAAATAGAAAAAAAAAACTGTAGAACTCACTTTGCATATGCTTTTTCGAGTAATGCCGGCCAAAACTGATCACTGTGACGCGCCTGCACAAAGGCAAGCCGTCCATGTACAGCGGGAAGTCGATCATCAACGAGGACCTCGACCCAGGATCCGCACCACCACAGCCGGAAACGAAAAACCCCAGCGTACTCGGATGTCGGTGTTCCAGATGACTCACCACTGTTACCAAATCCCTGATCAGCTGGTACAACACGGTAAAATAGTCCCTTGCTCAGGTGCAATACTCCCAGACACGAGACAAGCCATTTGTCACCTGGAATGTGTCAATTAAGCCTCAATCAGAAACATAAATAAATAAATAACTAAGCCTTGAGTAAAACTGAAAGTGAACGTCGATTTGTCCACGAGTTTGTGCCACTTATCTCGATTCAATGGTTTCCCAGATAAATATGATATATACCCGGTTTATCGGTGTTTTTTTTAATGCTTATTCTTCATTTTTGTAATCATGTGTAAGTGCCACTGACTCTGGGCACTCCACTTTCACTGATGGTTGTGTCTGCGAAAGAATTATGAACGAGTTAAGCAAGACATCGAGCGCAAAATCGAATGGGTAGACCTCAATACTGAAAAACAATTCTGAAATCTTGTGAGAAAATCGTGGCAATTATCTGGGAAAATTGTAGGAATCTGTCACTCAAGTCAGCACCAATTCAATTCTATTTTTTTTCCCTTCTTATTCCCTGATCTTTAGTCTGATTGTTTATTGTTTCAGGTGAAATAGAAGGGCAATTCCTTGGGAATAACGAGTTGGTCAGTTTTAGTTTTCCATGGCCACCGAGGCAGAACGAAAATGCTGAGATTTCCATTTTTTCCAATGTTTTAAAAAATTTTATATACTTATCACACTTTCACTAGCGTATGATCTAATTTTTCTCGCATGTACAATTCAATGTATATGCAATGTATGTACACTTCATTGTATATTTTCCGGTAGTTGTTGGCAATAGAAAGCAGGAAACTCACTTAGTTATGAAATGATATTTTTATATCTAGTTACGGAGTATTGGATTAGATTTTATTTCAACGTTGAAGTGGCGATCTGATAGGTGAAAAAAGAATTACGGAAGCAATAACGCGGGGATGGGATGCAGAGAGACTGATTTATTGGCCTCCGATAGTTACTGGAATGCTTCCTTCGGCATGCGGAGATACCTCGCCCCTTGCATCTCACATTTTTCACTCAATTCCACTTGCATTAGTGCAGGCCGTAATTACTTTGTGCCTCACGTGATGCGAAAATTAGGATTTATGCCGCCAAAAGTTGCTGTTTACTCTCTCAGCTATTTTAATTGAATCCCCTCATTATTCCGTAACCAAGCGTAATTCTCGGCTTTCAGTGGTAAATAAATGGGGAAAAATAAATAAGACTGGAATTCTGGTTTCCTCGCGGTATTACGGCCAATTGTGCTACAGTGGTGGTGATGCTCCACGAATGTTTATGGTGTTAACCATGCGTCATCAATATATTTACGTTATTTGAGTAAAGACAACAGATCGCGACGTTTCGTTATATAAAAAAAACAATTGTGACACGACATGCTTTGCATGTTTTTCATTAATTCCGTGGCCGTGGATTTTTAAAAGAAACCACACAGAGGGAAATGGTTCTAGTTTCCCGGCAAAATCCCTGAATTTCAGAATTATGTCAGACAGGAATTCAAGGATATCCAAGTAGGGTAAACTGCCCAGCAGATGGACGCCTAAGAAAACCGCCCAGTAAATGGACGTTTATTTTTTTAACAATTGAAAAAAAAATTGATCGAAAAAAAATCGTCACTCAGGGGTTAAGAATCACAACAGTTAGTGAAAATTCAAAGCAACAATTCACATTTCAGTATTTTTTTGCGTAATTTCCTATCCAAAAGTAGCTCGTCCATCTATAGAGCAGTGTCCATCTACTGGGTAGCTTACCATACTTTGGCTATTTTTTTTCCAGTGAAAGATTTTGAAAAATGTTCCTCAAGGTTTCAAAATTATGAATCAACATAAGACCTTCATAGTTTAAATAATAAAATCATTGCAACATATCTAGAAACTGAGGGTCAAATGGGGTTTAAATGGAAGCCGTGATGTTCAACAACTACAATCTTTTACTACAAATGTGGGAACGGATTTCAAGGTTGTAACTTATATTGAACGCAAAATAATGTTTGCCTATCACGCCCAAAATAGTGATGGAAATATAAAAAAAATAGAATGCATAGAATGCACTTCAGAAAATTTATTCACGAGAAAACCAAAAAACAAAATAATAGGTTGTTATGAGAAGTACAGGAATAATGATAACATCTCTGCTTCAATAACGATAAACATCTGATTTTTTGCGTATCACGGAAAAAGATATTAAATATTTTCTATTTTTTTATACATTAGGCTATTGTTCATTTTTCAAAAAATCATTTCACTAGGAAAATAGTAGTGCTAGCTGTATCGCATCATATTTTTCTATACTCAGAATATATATAGTACGATAGACAATCGGCGATAACTGGTTCGCGCGAAGCGTGCCTAAAATATTACTTTTTCGCACAGCGTGGTGAAAAAATGTTTTTGACACTCAGTACGTGAAACACCGCCCACGCACTTCGTGTCAAAAAATATTATTCGATACACGGAAGTGAAGAACTTTTTCTGGCGAATATGATTACAGAACTCGCCTTCGGCTCGTTCTGGAACATTAAAAATTCTAAGAGAATTAGAATTTAGAGAGAAAAAATTTCCGCTTCACCCAGCCGGGAATCGAACCCGGGTCTCCCAGATACGCGCCGGGCACTCTTACCGACTAAGCTACCGGGAACCACAGAAATTCACTCTCAAATTCACCTCATACACCGCCTAACCTCCTTTAGGCATTAAAAAATTCTAAGAGAATTAGAATTTAGAGAGAAAAAATTTCCGCTTCACCCAGCCGGGAATCGAACCCGGGCGAACGAGCCGAAGGCGAGTTCTGTAACCTCATATTCGCCAGAAAAGTTCTCCACGCCCTAGTATCGAAATGTACTATTTCGAAATCTTTGAATTGAAATATTACTAAATCATGATACCAGTATTTTTTTTTATTCATATTTCTTTCCTACTACCATTATGGTTTTATAGGGTCCCCATTCGTCTGCCTTGCCTCTCCCACTTCTCTCTTCTGATTTTTTCTGCGTTACCATGGGCCGTCTTACTCTTAACTGTACCCCATTCGGGCTAGGATTGCAAGGGAAACCATGGAAAACCCCAGTCGTACAGCCGGCCGATAATGCAGAGATTCCACTGTGTCCATTGGTCACACTGACTCAATGGGCACAGTGGTTCTCCATATTCGTGCCTAGCGACTGTAGTCCCACGCGGTTAGGTGTGCCTAAGCGGACACCCATCCAAGTACTGGGCAGACTGAACACTGCTTAGCCTGGATGACCGCCGGAGCCACACACTCCCCGCGTGACCACTACAGCCACTTTCATGATACCAGTAATTTATCTTCAATTGATTAATTCATTTGTTTCCCCGGATATTCCTACATATTGGTCTTGATTTTAAAGAATATCGAATTTAGTTTTAATATTATCTTTCAAATATATTCATAAATATTTCGTGCACTATTACGCATTTTATATTTATGAATTTTTTGAAATTTGTCGTGATTTGGTCATAATCGATATTAATAATGGGTTGAGACTCTTTATGTTCATTTTCGCATTTTTATTGTTGCTGAAGCTTATTAATATTATTCAAAGTATTTTTTTCATAACATTAATTTTCATGTATTAATCCCATTGTTTCTGTGTTGAACTGAATTTTGAATTCAAAAAATAAAATCATCACAACTAATTATTAATTAATAAACAACATTTCGAACGTTTGTGAATGAAAAATGAATTCAGTAGCGAAGTGGTAAAAGAGGATGAGTGCATTTTTTTCGAAATTCATAATATTATTGTTACCATTTGAAAATAAATATTTCATTGTGATTCACGCAAAATTTTTTATTTTCTTTTAAACCAATTATCTCCTTTTACCACTTCGCTACTGAATTATTCAGGTGCCAAACTTGAGATTATAAAATTGAAAAAAACATCACGCAAGTTCCCTATTACACAACTGAAGAAGAGAGACACAATGTTGACGGATGCCCTCCACCACTCCCCTACTAAATTTTAAAAAATAACAAAAACACTCACCCATTTTCCCTGGAATCACATCGAATTGTGTTGGAGTATCACTGACGAATATTGGTCGGTTGCATAGCTCCTGGAAAAGGCAATAAAACCCATTGATAAGATCATTGTCAATTAATTTCAATTCGCATCAGGGACTCAATAACTCTTCAGTCACGACTTCCGCTGTGCCTACGTCAGTCATACATTCAGTGCGTTACTTCCGGCCTCCTCGCACACATCGCCATTCCCCCTGTACATGTCCCATTCACATTTACATATTTTTTTTAAGCTTCAAGATTAAAATCTGGGTAATTGTATTCAGTTTATGTCTATAGTAGAGTCGAGCGGGAGAGCAACGATGCAGCAAAACGACCTTGCTGTTTAAACTCCTCGGTTACCAGGAATATTACCTATCTGCAGACTACATACAACCCGGGGGCTCCTGTTACGCGGTTCGACTCCATTGTCTCAGCTTCCCCCCCCCCCCCCCCCNCCCATTATTGCATAGTTTTTGCCCACAAACAAAAGTAAGCAAGTTTAACATCCCATCGACAATTTTCTTTTTCACGTTTATTCGTTTACTTTTAGTGGTATTATTAGAAACTCTTACCTTTGGTCTCTTCCACTGAAACTGAAAGGGCGGCGTCTGATGATAAAAAACGGAAGCCTGTGTTGCCGGGAATTCCGGATCCTCCCACAGTTCACCTCGTTTCAAGCACGAACGCTTGATGCGCTCATACTCACTCATCACATCCTTAAAATGAAAACAAAAGAAAATTCATCAATAAAATTAAAATTCACATGATAAATTCAATGGGTGAATTAATTATGCCTAACGAACCATGCATGAGTGTACATTGTTTGCCAAATTGAGCGGTGGAATTTTTTTTCGTGGATAAATAAATTGCGCAATGCGTTGTTTCATTGCGTATTAGAAGTGTGTAGCTGGTGGTACCCACGCACCGAGTTCCTGCGGCCTGACCCCGATAATACCTCAGAGGTATTTAAAACATGACGACACGAGGATTCCATTCAAATTAACACCTCCCTCCAATTAACGCACGTCGTGGAAGAAAAACATTCTTAATTTGAGGATAATATGAATAGTCTTAATTGCAGGGTAATTCTTGTTTCGGAACTTGACGAGGACGAAATTGAAGATGGCATTCATGTCAACGGAAAGACAGGGATGAAATTTAATTGTTTATTCAAAACTCTGTGGCGCTGAAATCTAGCGTGTAAAATATCCTGAAAGTAAGCGACATTTCCATTTGTTTTAAGGGGTGACGGAACCCCTTTGTCTACATCAAATCTTAGAATTGTGTTTTCTCCTACAATTATTAATTTCTATCTATGACATTACTTTATCAACTCGATTATCGCATTGTTGAGTCAATAAAGTAGTTGAATGAATAAAAAAAAATAATTACAGGAGAAAACGCAATTGTAAAGATTCATATAAACGCAGGGGTCCTGTCTTTCCTTAAGGGGAGACTATTGTGAGTTTTATAAGCCGTGGGTCATTGGAGTGAGACTTTTCATACGTTGAAGATCGATTATATAGATCTGAAAACAAATAATTAGTGCAAAAAAAATTTTTTTTATTGTTCGTTTGCTCCAAAACGCTTAAAATGCCAAAAACAGTCCAGGGCCTCCAGTTTTTGAGCTACGAAGTATTTTTTTTTTTTAATTTTCGGAAAAATATGTGGAATAACAGTTACGAGCTATTTTTTAAAAATTCACCTGTTACATGGCTAAATTTGCTTTTTTGTATTTTTTTTACACAAATCGTGAATTTTTTTATATGAAAAAAAACCGAGATCAGCTATGTAGGAGTCGAATTCCAAAAAACTGGCTCGTAATAGTTGTTCCACACATTTTTCCGAAAATTTTGAAAAAAAAAATCTTTTGGAGCTCAAAAATTGGAGGCCCTGGACTGTTTTTAGCATTTTAAGCGTTTTTGGGCAAACGAACAATGAACAAAATTTTTTTTTACACTAATTATTCATTTTCAGATTCATATAGTCGATCTTCAACGTATGAAAAATCTCACTCCAATAACCCACGACTTTTAAAACTCATAGTAGTCTCCCCTTAACCCTACTCTGGTCACCGAACGCGACCCTGCGACTCTGGTCACCTCTGCGGGGATTCCCCGCCGTGTTGTTGAGGCTCTAGCGTTGCCGAATTCACTCTACACTGCCCGGGCACGGTTAGCGAGTTTCCGGCAACGTCGCGTGATCGACAATTTCATTTGAGGTACTTCCTCAGTGAGTTATACTTGGTGAAAATTTCCCAATGAACTGAAGACCTAAAATTTTGATCATATGTTGTTGAGCACATGTAAAAACGATTCCCAAAATTTCAAGTATTTTTTCCACGCGAATTTTTGAGATATGCATCGACAAAAATTTTAAAAAGACAAAAATTGAATGTTTGACGATGGATATTTCAAAAATTCACGTGGAAAAAATACTTGAAATTTTGGGAGTCGTTTTTACATGTCCTCAACAACATATGATACAAATTTTAGGTCTTCAGTTCATTGCGAAGTTTTAATCAAGTATAACTCACTGAGGAAGTACCTTAGTATGAGAAAAAATAATTCATCTGTTCGAAATGATTCGTTTTCTTTAGGAATTTCGAGAAATATGTTGTTCTAAAAAACTACTATAATTCTTTAGACACTTCAATTAACGAAGTCAATTTTTTTTTTAATTTTCCGGTCAATCAATTTTAATTAAAGAAAATCGATGCACGGCGGGGTTTCCGTCTTAGGGTGACCAATCTAGGGTTAAGGAAAAACCGCGATGAACTTTGAACGTTGTTGTTGGGGCTAGGAACTTATTGAGTGAATTTTGATATATCATGAAATCTGTTAGAAAGTTGGAAAAATTATGACTATACTCGATTTTGCCCCATGAATCAACGAAAATGAACGTTTTTCATTTTTACCTTTAAAATATTCCGAGTGTCTCAGTTTTCATCCGATTAACATTTTTTTCAAAATGTTCGTTAGTCACCAAAGAAGAAAGGTATGCGTCCATTTTACGATCCATTGAACGGGTCATCAATTGGAACGAAACGAAAAATTAATGAATCAATACGAAAGTAATAATCGAAAAAAAAAATTTCTTTAATTTTTCCATGCTCTATTCAATGCGTCAGAAAACGGATGCATACCTTTGCTCTTTGGAGTGTAACGAACATTTTGAAAAAAAAAAACATTTCAATCCGATGAACACTGGAGCACCTGGAAGATTTTACAGCTAAAAATGAAAAACTTTGTTTTTCGTTGATTCACGGAGCAAAATCGATTGTACTAATCGCTTTTCCTACTTCTTAACACGAGACATCATATATCAAAAGTCGCTCGATACGTCCCCTGCTCCTAGGAAGACTTTGAGATTTCACCGCGACACATTTTCTCTTATTCTAAGGGAATCTTCGTTTTGAAATGCAGAACTTTTGGGTTCTTAAAATAAGAACTTTGGTGTTCTTGAACTGATGATTTTGCCTGTTCCAACATAAATGTACTCATGTTTATAAATCCTTTATTATTCGTATATCACCTGAGACCTTGCCTCAAACGATATTTAATTAATATTATTTATTTGCCTGTCACTTAGGGGTTGACGCCCTGTGACAGGTGAGGTTCGAGTTCATACAAAAAAATATATAATAATGTAAAAATGCACAAATTGAATTAATATTCAATTATTCCAGAATTATTTAAGAATCCAATGGTTTTTAATTCAAGAACTTTTTTCACTTAAGGATATCTCGATATTAAACCATTGGAAAACATTTCAAAAATCTGAAAAAAATTAGAAAGTTTACTTTTGGAGGAAAATGAAATAATTAAAAAATGCAATTTTTCAATCAATAATTTATAAACAATTAATTTTCCATTGTAACAATCATTTGTTCGGAATCGTAATAAATTTATTCATACTCAGAATTTTACCAGAAATCGATTTCATGCCTGAAAAAGTAATGTTTCCGAAAGTTTAAACAATTTCAATGATTTATTTGTAAACAACGAATGTTGGAAAAAAAAATTCTGTACAAAATCTTATTTAAATGATGCTAAATATTCACAATTACTTTCAAATTTATTCTCATACAATTTGATTGACAAATTTGATGATTGCAAATGGTTGAGTCTAGAGCGTGATCTGTACCAAACAGTAAAAGATACTTGGATTATCCTTAAACCAAATAGGTTTTTGGTGATGAATTTTCGGGATTTTTCCTCTGAAATGAAGCAGTCACAATTTTTTTCTCAGTACAATTACTTCTAAAACCATGTTTCTTAAAATCATTAACTTGGTTTTAGAAACTAGAAACTTTTCTTCTTTGTGATCATGACGAAAACCGATTTTGTGTCACTACTTTTTGGGATACTCTAAAAACGGTTTCTGTCAACTGAAAAGTTTTTCATCTCTCATACCTGCGCACCCATTGAGTCGAATAAGTATTTTTTAAATCAATTCAGAATATTAACTGCTCTGTATTTTCAATGTCAACTACTCAAAGAAAAAATAACTTTTCAACGCATGTACTAAAAAATTTTCGTATAGATCAGAAAAAGTTCCAAGAAAATTATCCATGTCCTGCACCCAGAGAACAACTTTTGCTTGAGCTATTCAAAATTGTGGATAGCAATGACAAAGACTGTTGACCTTATATTTTCTAAGAAGTTTTGAAGAGCTTCATTAAAAACTCATCTTCAAGTGAAGTTCACTCATCTTCCTACCCATTTTGCTACCGAACTAATAACAATATCCTTGATTGGCTAGTTTTTCACTTCTCTCGTGAGAAGACCATTTGTAATTACCGCGAGTCTCCTCTTGTTCTCTCCTAATTACCAGAGTAATTACGAAATTTACGAGAATATATTTCCTGACATCATCCTAGCGCATACTAGTTCAAGGCGTGGCCAAAAATTCACCATTGTTCATCATCGATCGTATTTTTCAGCGAAACTCCAGCCCCATAATCATGTTAATAATCCGTTTTTTTATTATTTAGCTTGCGTCACATTCGTCGTCATCGCCAGCAGTTTGCAGAGAGAGACAGAAAGAGAGAGAGAACAACTGGTGAAAGCGCTGCCAATGGATTTTTAACTGAGGAAACCTTCGGCCCGCATGAACATTGCGATGATTGTCGTTCCACTAGAACGATGGGGAAGATGAAAATTACAGAGGAGCAATAGCAAGGGGGGATCCACACCATTTCACTCGGTGATGTCTCCGTAACTGCTCAAATGGATTCCGTGAATTTTCATTACCAAACATTTGCGTTTGTCGTGAGGCAAATGAGTCTCTCTCATCACCTTGTGTTTGAGTTACTTTTTTATTCAGCAAGTTGGCCGGATGAATTAAGTGACACCCGTTAGATTCACAACATGACGAGGTAACTCGGATATAACGGGAAAAACTGTGGGACTTTGCGTGCACTGCTCTATACCTCTCTTGCCCTGGTGCACTACGACCCATGATTCAAATTCAATTCAATTCATCCACTTGTTGCATTCTTTACACTATTCATTCCCCGCCCGCCCATGAATATGTAATGCTTTATTTTGATTTAGATTGCTTTCAAGGTCGGGAATGAGGACTGTTGTGTTTACATGCCCCAACAATTCTCTCGGGAAATCCATTCAGTGTCTGAAGAAACGAAATTGGTTCAGATGGAACTCTTTACGATTTACATTTCAATGAAAAATTGATGCATCTTGGAGACCGTTAC